AAAATATTCATCCATTTAAGTTACCAGTTTTATTTGCATATATAGTTAGGTAAAATGGTTTCCAATAACTTACTTTTTTCTTCATTTGTTGTGAATTCTTACTTTTTCTTTTCAATACTAGTAATTTGATTTGACTTTTTAAAATAAACAAGCACCATACAAATATCTGGAAACCTATGTTTCATTAGAACTGGAGAGTGCTCTTAAGAACTGGACAATGCTTTTAAGAGCACTGGTCTTTATTAGGATGATACCAACAGCAATCTCTCCAGGCCTTCAAGAGTTTTTCCCAATGCATTATTAATGACACTTTCAAATACTGTTCTGCCTCTTACCCTCTCCACCACCACCAAATTTACTACTTCTGCCCTCACTCCCCACTGAGGACACTATTCCCTGAAAGCTTGCTACTGTAATGTCTCTAAACTGTCTTATTTCTTTTCTGAGTAAATTAAGATGGGCATGAGAGGCAGTTTGGGGTAGTAGAAAGAATCTTTTTTTTCTCTAAAGCTCTCACATTTAATTGTGTTGATTAAAATGTTATTTAATTAAAAACAATGTTTATTTAGGCCTTTTGTATTTTTCTCAGCTGTTCTATATGCTAAATTATCCTTATGGCTCAAAATATTTATTTCCTGAGATTATTAAGTTAAAACCATAGGAAATTCAGAATGAAAGACATGTCAACCAAATTTATTATATTTTTATTCATATTTGGGAGGTCATTAGCTCTCCTCCACTCCTAGTTTTCTGAAATCAGAGCAGTGATGACAAATAATAATAAAAACAGCTTGTTTCCTCTATATTAAGAAAATTTCATGTGAATTTTCCTTTCCAGAGAACCACATATATTAGTATTTTATATTCTCTCATTCTCAACCAATCTAATCCAATCCAACAAGCATTTGTTTAATACCTATGTACTAAAACGCACTGTTTTAGAGATATAAAGAAAAAAATGAAATAGTCCCTGTACCTAAGAAGGTTGCATTCTACTGGGGTATCCAACATGTATTCAAAATACAATACATAGCACAATTAATCAATATACATTTTATGTCAGACATTATACTAAGCACTGGGGATGCAAAAAGAGGTAAAAGACAGTTTTACCCTGGCACTACACAGTAAGCACTTAATTTATCTATATTTATCTATACCTATCTAACTAGATAAACATATAAACTAATATAAAGATATAGAAAGCATTAATAACTGAGGGGATCAGGAAAGGTTTCTTGTAGGATGTGACATCTGAGCTGAGCCTTAAAAGAAACTAGGAATTATAAGAAGCTGAGGTGAGAAGGAATTGTAATGTAGGGAAAGCCCGTACAAAGGGACAGAGAAGGGTGTGGGATGTTGAGTTCCAGGAACTACTAGTAAGCCATTTTGTCTAGAACGTAGAGCACTTGAATGAGAGTATTATAAAATAAGTCTGGAAAAGTAGGTAAGTGACAAACTGTGGCAAGCTTTAAGCATCAGGTTTTTTTAGGAGCTTGTATTTTATCTGAGAGGTAATAAGAAGCCACTGACAATTTTTGAGTAGGGGAGTGACATTAGATCTGTGTCTGAGGAACACTAATTCTTCAGTTGTATGGAGGATGGATTAGAGGGGAGAACAGAGAAATAGCTAACATGCTGGATCACATAGTAAGGATCTAAAAACATTTCAATAGGTTAAAACAATGAATGGCACATAACAAAATGAAATTTAATATGAATAAATGTAAAGACTTAGACTTGGATTGAAAAAATATCAGTATCCCAAGTCAGATAGGAAAAGCATGGTTAGACAGCAGACTGTCTAAAAAGATCTGGGGGTTTTGGTGGACTGCAAGTTTAATATGAATCAGCAGTATGATGTGGCAAACTGAATCATTAAAGAGATGGTTATAGAACATCTCAAAAAGGAAGCAGTAATTACAAAATGCCTTCATGGTTCATGAAGAACAGGTCATGACAGACTAATCTTATTTCCTTTTTTGACAGTTACTAAGCTAGTAGATTAAGGAAATGCTGGAGTTCAGCTAGATTTTAGCAAAGCATTTCATGAAGAACTGTATATTATTCTTGTGGAAAATATGGAGATATAATGGATGAAATAACAATTTTATTAAACAGACTTAGAATTGGATGGCTAGTGTCAAAGAGTAATCTTAATAGTTTGATGTCACTTTGATCAAAGATCTCCACTGGGTGGCAAAGGAACCTGTGGTTGGCCTTGTATATTTGTATTTATTTTATTTATTTAAACAAAGGCATAGATGGCACGGTTATCAAAATTGCAGATGACACAAAGGTGGGCAAAACAGCTAACACAATGGGGGACAGTATCCAAAAGGCTCATGCCAATCTAGAGATTTGGGATGAATCTAATGGGATGAAATTCAAAAGGGACAAATCTGAAATTTTTACATCTAGGTTCAAAAAATCAACTTTACAAGTATAGAATGGTAAGCTATAGTTAGATAGCAGTCTGTCTGAAAATTATCTGAGGCTTACAGCAGGCTGTTAGTTCAAAATGAGTCAGGAGTGAGGTGTAGCAGCAGGAAAAAAAAGAAAACATGATCTTGAGTCATATAATAATAACTAGCATGTGTATAACTCATGTTATCTGCCAGGCACTGTGCCATGGGCCTTACAAATATCTTATTTGATCTTCACAACAACTTTAAGTGATAGGTGCTGTTATTATTTCTATTTTACGAGAAAACTGAGGCAAACAAAGGTTAAGTGACTTGTGCAAGATCACATACCTCATAAACGTCTGAAGATGGATTTGAGCTCAGACTTTTCTGACTCTAAGTCCATTGCTCTATCCGCTGTACCACCATCCCTTTTCCATACAATGATATGGTCATCCTGCACCTGGAAGTACTATGATCATCTCTGAGCACTATAATTTAAAGGCCTCAATAAACAGGAGAGCATCCAGAGAAGAGCAAACAGGAAGATGAAGAGCCTCAAGTATGTGTCATATGAGAATCACTTTAAAGAGGTGGTGTTGTTTAGCCTGTTAAGAGAAGACTGAAGGGGCACATGACAGCTGTCTTCAAGTATCTGAAGGAATATTTAGCCTGAAAAATAGAAGACTTGTTGAGGAAATATTAAAGCTGTTTTCAAATACATGAAGGATTGTCATATGAAAGAGACAGTAGATTTCTGTTTGGCTCCAGTGGCCTGTACTAGAAGTTTAGGTAGAAATTGTAAACAGGCATATATGAACAATATAAAGTAAAGCTTCTTAACAATTAGAGTGAAAGTGAAATGATTTGCCTTAGGAATTATATGCTTTGGGGAATCCACTGAATGGTTGGACCCAAAAAGTAATGATTATTGGTCTGATGAAGTTGCTAATGTGCAGAATGCTCAATTTGGTCTCAATAAGACCTCAGTTCAAATCTTGACTCAGACCCTTACTAACTACAATCACCCTGGACAAGTTACTGAACCTCTTTGTGCCTCAGTTTCTTCATCTATAAAATAAGGAAGTTCAACTTGACGGCGTCTAAGGTTTCTTCTGTCTCTAAGACTATGACCCTTTGTCAACTTGGAAGAAACTCTGCAGTGGAGTGGCACCAGGGTATTGTTTGTCCCTGGGTAGTTTGACATTTTTTAACAGTGACTTGTATAAAGGCATATATATGAATGCATCTCAAATGTGTAAACTACACAAAACTAGGAGGGGTGCTAATACATTGGATGATAGTCAGGATCCAATATTTGAAGAATTATCATGTGGAAAAGTAATGATTAATTACTTGTTCTGTTTGAATTTAGATGGTAGAACAGGTAGTAATTGGTAGAAATAGTCAGGAGACAAATGTAAGCTTTGATGAAAGGAAAAATTTCATAATAGAAATATCCAAAGGCAGAATAGGCTGCTTTGGGAGGCCATGGGATTACGTTCATTGGAGGTAACAAAAGTTACCTCCAACAAACAAAAGTTGGAATGATCACTAGTCTAATATGTTTTATATATAATGAGGAGTCCTTTCAGATCTGATAACCTCTGACTTTCCCTCCAATTATTTAATTCAGTGATTCTGTAGAAGCTTCCCCCTAACTGGAATTCTTCAAGAAAAGTCTGAATGACTATTTTTTAATAAAATTATTCTATCCTAGTGGTACCTAAAATTCTTAGTACCAAACTCTTGAAGTAGCCTCTCTTTTCACATTCCTCTAATCACAACAGCATCATTAACTCCCTTGCATAAGTATCTCAAGGTTCTGCAGCTGTGAACTTTTCCAGGGACTGTAGTTTTTGAGATTCATTCTTCTGTTTTTGATTTTAATCACTATTTATATGTTTTGCTATTTAGTAGCAGTCAAAGGCATTCATTCTTTTTTCAACAGCAATTTCATGTAGTGGAAAAGAAGCCCAAGACCTTGGACGAGTCACTCAGGGCCTCAATTTTGATTGATCTGTTAACATTTTTTGTCTCATTTGTGGTTGAGTTAATGTCATTACAGAAGAGACTTCTTGGGGTGAAGGGTGCAAGGGAAATCCCCACTCGCCAGCAAAAAAAAATGATCTCTACCATCTCCTGATACTGAAGTTACTCATATTACTTTGCACCGACTTTCCTGTTGTCACCCTAGGCTAGAGCCGGCATCCTGCTCTTGAATCCTCAGTCAAGGACCTGAGCCATTTTGCTGATGGATGGGCTGAGTACTTATGTGACGTAGGCCTCTTTCTGTCCTCGTCAACTAAAAATGGCTAGTCTGGGGGTTTCGTTCTCTCTCGTGGGGACTTTACCGCCAGCTCGGTCCCAGAGGGACTTCCCAGGCAGCATAAAGGTTTCAGCCCGCACGTTTCAGGGTTACTATCCGTTTCCCCTCAGGGCAGGTGGGCAGGCTGGAGGGGGCGCATGCGCACGCATGCTCCCCGCCGGTAACAGGCAGCTCGGCCCCGTCCTTCCGCGCAGACGCCGCGCGCGGGAAGGCGGCGAAGGGGCGGGGCCTGCGAGCTCGCGGTTTCCCGGGGCGACGGGGGCGGAGGCGGCAGGAAGGCCGAGCTGCGGTTGGCCGCCGCGGAAATGGACACGCTGGGGGTGGAGCCGGAGGAAGAGGAGGACGAGGACGAGGAAGAAGAGGACGAGGAGGAAGACACCATGGACCCTCCGCTCTTGGGGGCGGCAGGAGGCGCCCCGAGCGCCACGGGGCCCGTGGAGACGGTCGGCCCCGCTCCGTGTAAATGAACTGAGAGCGGCCGCGGGAGGGGGGAGGGCCTCGGCCGGCTCCGAGCTGGGGGAGAGCAGGAGGCCGAGGCGGGGGCGGGGGTGCAGGGTACGAGGGCCGGGGACTGCGCCCCCCACCCCGGCTCTGCCTCTGGTCCTTTGTTCTCGTCGCCCTGGCCCCGAGCAGGGCAGGAGTGAGCCCCAGAGTTGCGGGCACGTCCGGTGTAGCCCAGAGCCCCGAAGGGTTAAGGGTCATTTTGCTCTTCCACGTGTCAGGCAAGCAAGGGCGCATTTCCAAAAAACATTTTTTTAGACTTGTTAAAAAAAAAAAAAAAGTAAGAAAACGAGACATAAAAGGGCCTCCCACCAAGTTCGAGGTTTGAGAAGTTGTCAAATTCCGCCCCATGGCAAGCCCCTCCCACCCCCTTGCACGCGGGAGCTGGGAGGGAGAGGATGGGGTGGGTCCTACGGTGTAAGCTCAGGGAGGGGCCGGGCTGGCTGCTGCTCTCCCCTCCCCCAGGTCCCTGGGGAGGCCCACCCAGGGCTTCGCTCACCGAACCAGAAGGGCCTGGGGATTGTCGAGATCTGACTGTTGTGGCTTGGGGGAAGCCAGGATGAGTCTTATCCAAAGAGCAGGTGCATCTTCGCCTTGGCTCTTATCACTCCAATGCCTAAGAGGTTTCAAGTCTAGTAATAGAGATGTTAAGCCCTTTAAAACACACAGCTTTTGTTCCTTTGCCATTTGAAGTTCTGATGTTACCACGTGGACCAGGTGTAGTGAAGTTTGTAAGGAATCGGGTTCACTTAGTTCCTTGGAGATTATTGTTTGGATCACTTTGTATTTCTTCCAAGGGGAAGAAATTAAATACTGTTAATGTCCAAGTGGTAGTTAACCTGCTTTTTCATTATTGGATCACATCAAGTTGATTTTTTTTTCAGAATTAAACAATTGTGCTGAAAAATAGAAAATGCATAAATGTCAAGTAAAACTTTTTGTTTTGTTTTGTTTTGTTTTAATCCATTGAAAGTGTTCTAAATTCTATAACTTAGCTGCCTTGGCTCATAGGATAAGTCAGGAAAAGATGCAAAACTCTTATGCCAGACACAACCCCACTTTTGTCATTTACCGTCTCTTACCACAACCCTACCATGTTAGCATAGATTAAGGAGTGAAAATGTTTTGCATTTCTTTGCATGTGGTGCAGCAGTTCATGGCCAAGTTGTGCCGGCAGGAAGTTCTTCCTACAGAGTCATAGTACACGTGGATCTGGATTGCTTTTATGCACAAGTGGAAATGATCTCTCATCCAGAATTAAAAGGCAAACCTTTAGGTATTTCTGGACTTACATATTTTCTTTCCCTTTTTTATATTTAAGGATTAAATCTGTTAGAATGGCATATTTTGTTTTGTTATTTTGTTCCATTCCATTTTACTCAGCTCAGTATTATAGAGCTTTAAAAGTGGTTCCTGTAATCAATAGTAATGAGGGGATATAGATTTTGTAATCATTTTATAAATGGATCATCTGAAGTAAAAACAGCAAGAAATTTATATATGTGTACGGACACTTGTCAGTGCAAAAGCAATAAATAGCTTAGTTTTATTTATGGATTGACCTTCAGGCTAGCTGGTACTTTCTATTTGCATTCATAAGTAAATTACTTGAATTTGGGTTTCCCATCCTAAAAAGTGGGAATAGCTACTAGCACTGTTATTTTGAGGTTGATGTGATCTATAGTTATTCAGGAAATTTTTATTGAGTGCCTTACGTGTATAATGCACTTTTAGGTCCTAAGAGAGATAAAAAATGAAACAGCATGCTCTTCAAATTTCTTGTGGGGAAGAAATAATTCCTGATAAATACAGGTATTATTGCCACCCTCATCACCAGAAGGGTGGTCACTAGATGGTGAATTTTTTTGGCCATGGCAACTCTTGCGTTGGCCAAAAATATAAAATGGCCTTCAGCCCTGAATATACCCTTTTCTTCTATAGTGTCTTAAAGGGGGAGATAGAGGATGCTCAAAATTAATCAGTTCCTAGACCATATGCAAATGTTCATTGATATTTTGTTTAAATGATTTTTTTAAACAAATTTGGTTTAAGGAATAGAATTTTTTACAGTATCAAAGTCATGTCATCAACAGTCATTTATTGAACTTCTTCTATGGGCTGAGGCCTGTGCCAGTCACTGAGGGTATAAAACAGTATGAAAAGCACAATCCTTGCACTTGAAGTTCAGGATTTGCACTTTTAAAAATTAACAACAGATCACATTGTTGAATTAATGGAATAGATAAACACAAGACTAAATAGTTAAAACCAGAAGAATTTGGTTCAGATTTTGGCTCTGCCATTCTCTAGTTGTGTGACCTTCCTTAGTCAAGTTATTTTCTCATGACCTTCATTTCTTCATCAAATAAGAAGGTAGGACTTGAGCATACAGTTCTCAGACATTTTGATCTAAGGACCCCTTTATATTCTTAAAAATTATTGAGGATCCCAAAGAGGTTTTATGTGGGTTATATCTGTTGATACTGCATTGGAAATTAAAATGTCCAAGTATTATAATGGGAATAGTTTTTGACTTGTGGACCTGAAGAATACCTCCAGGGTTCACAGGACCACACTTAGAGGAACTGATCTTTAAAAATTTTAGCTCTGACAGGGTATATAATTCTAAGTTCACCATGTAGGCAAAAAACTCTGCAGGAGTAATTGGAAGTTTTGTGAAAGATGAAGGCAATGCAGGCACATTCATTACAATTGGGGAATTGAGTTTCTGGGAGGGAAGGGAATAAGCATTTATGTAGCACCTACTATGTGCCAGGCACTATGCTAAGTGCTTTATAAGTCATTTGATCCTCACAATAACATTGGAAAGTAGGTGCTGTTATTATCCCTATTGTATAGTGGAGAAAACTGGCAGGCAGAGGTTAAATGACTTGCCCAAGGTTACCTTGCTATCAAGTTCCTGAGGCTAGATTTGAATTCAGGTCTTCCTGAAATTAGGCCCAGAATTCCACTGTGTCACCAGCTGGGTCTTGTTTAATTGTTACTTAATATTTGTGTGGAAGTTGTTGGATTTTGAAAAGTACTTTACTCATAGAAGGTGTTTAATAAATATTTGTTAAATTCATAAATGAGAATGAGTTCTTCAAAGTAGAACTTGTAGAATTCCATAAGCATACTCAAGAGAAATATACTTTAGGCAACTGTAAAATTCCATTTTAAACCTTATAAAAAAGGTGCATATTAAATTATGAAGCAACTGTCATATTTTTCTTGTGGTCCTCAAGCAAATTGTTTTAAACAGGAGTTCATAAGAACCTTGTAGTGAACTTTTGAAGCTAAAGAATGACTAGTTATTACTCTTGGAGAAAATAAAGGAATTAAATAATATGTTTTGCTTTAAATTGGTGTGCTTCATCATACTTTAATCTTTTGTAAATTGATACCTAGGCAAAGTAGCTTGTTTTTATCATTAAAAGTTTAGGAATAATTTAGCTCCAGTTGTCTTCTACAACATAATTTATTTCTGAAGATTGTGCCCTGGCTGAAATATTTCATATAAAACTTATGTAGCCTTCCAAAAAATGGTAAAACTGAATTTTTAATATGTTATGCTGCTGATCATAATTTCTTCTCATCTTTTGCTTACCCTTGGCCTGTAACTCTTCTTGAATACCTTACCTTTGCTGTATAGTCCAACAAATCAGGATTAGAATGGGGGGTATCCCTAATAATTATGACAAGCTAGTACTTGAAATAGAGCACTTTATGCAGTGTCAAAATGTTCAGAAGATGAAAGTGATTTTTTACTAGCAGCAACTAGCAGTTAATTTTGTTTGACAGTTCTTCCAGTTCTGAACATTTTTAATAGAGCATAATCTGTGATTATTAAAGAGTAAAGTTAATTCAATCTCTGTACCATCTGAGAAAATATTAGAGATCTTTTCTTCAGATTTCACCAAAGAAAACACCCCCAGAAAAAGCTGACTTTTGGTCATAGGCTGTTAAGAAACCCCCCAAATATAGAACAAATTACCCCACTCACCTGTGAAATGGATTCACATATTAGTGTTTCATGGTTTATATTATAATGCATTGTGAGTATGGTGCACTTTCTACTATTTTAGTCAGTATCTTATAATATCTAAAGGGAGGCAGTATAGTGAAATGGGTAGAGAGCTGTCTTTGACCCCAGGAAAACTTATCTCTGAAAGGCACTGGCTATGTGATCCTGAAGAAGTTACTGAACTTCTCAGTGCTAAGACTTTAGTTATGAGAGAAAAAGTGCTGACTTACATGATAGAGGTAGTTTTTTTCACCTTTGTGTTTTCTATACCAATGAAATAACAGTAATCCTGTCCCTCTCTAATTCTTGATAACAGCTACAGAGTTGTAACTAACTCAAGCTCCAATTTTCTCTGAAACATAACACCCAAAGATTATGATTAGCTAATAAGAATTCAGTTTGGACATTTAATATGGAGTAAACCCTTATGAGTAATTAATAACTAGAGATACTAGTGTTTCTGTTTCTTACAATTTTACTGATGAAAATAGGGAATAGTTCTAAATTGAGCACTTGGAGATTTTTGTTACCAAAATGTTTTGCATTGTAATGTATTATAAAAAATGTAATTTTTATTTGAATGTTAACAGGTGATTCCCTTACATCTTGCTGAGTTTTCCCCTAACACTGTTTTCCCCATAGGTGTTCAGCAAAAATATTTGGTTGTCACCTGTAACTATGAAGCCAGGAAACTTGGAGTTAAAAAACTGATGTCTGTGAGAGATGCAAAAGAAAAGTGTCCACAGCTGGTGCTAGTTAATGGAGAAGACCTGACACGCTATAGAGAAATATCATACAAGGTTACAGGTACAATTTATAGACAAGGATGGTTCTCCAAATGCTTGTGAAATGGTATTATTTAGTTTTATTACATATATATATTTATATACATGATCTATATATATTTATATGTATGATCATGATCTAACATGAAATCATATATATGTATGATCATGATCATGTTAGATCATGCTAGTTTTGTGTAGAAAGAGATTACATAAATTTACATAAATTACATAAATTTAAATCTACATATTGGGGATAATGCTGACTGGGATTAATGTAATAGGAATTTTGTCAGTGATTCTGAGATTTTCCTTACTGGTGCTTTACAAATATTACACTACCAAAGAAAACAGCTTAACATAAAAACAATAAACTTAAAGCTATATATTTTTAGTTTTAAATAAAATAAATGTAACATTGTAAACATACGTGTTTTTAAAATTAACCATAAAGAAATATTATATACTGTTACAGACAGTACTTAAAACATTCTGCAAATGGTGATTAACTTCACTGATTTTTGAAAATCACTGAAATAAAATAAGTATCTAATTCTGAGGATTTTTAATTTGTACTAAATCTAATTTAATGCAGCCAAAACCACCACATGGTTAAAATTGAGTTGGCAGTATTTTAGTGATTGAAGAGAGGGAATGAGAAGCTGAAGGACAGACAAGTTGGTGCAAAAAGCTACTGCATTTATTCATGTTTTCATAGCTCACATTTTGAAAAGAAAGTATGTTCCTTATGCAATGTCTCTATCTCCCGTTCTTCTGCTTTTTAAAATTTTTACTTTGAAATAGTAACTTCAGAGACTTTCAAAATAAAGTACTTTGTAATTGCCAGGATTGACTGAGGAGGCAGCCCTTGTTAAGAGAAAGCTCCTTCGTGGCTGTCAGCTCTTTTTCTCCCTTTTCCACCTCTGTCTTCTCCCTTCCCCTAAGCTGTTGGCGTACCAGGGAAGCTTCATCCCTTTAGAGCAGGCCTGCACAACCTATGGTCAGTGGATTGCTTACAGTCCACAGGCATGCCAAAGGATTTTGGGTATTCTGCAAAAATTGTAGAGGATGTTTTCCTTTACGTTTTTCGGGGCCACCTGAAATCCTTTAGCGGGCCGCAGGTTGTGCAGGTGTGCTTTAGAGAAATAGTTTGAAACTAAGTCCATCATTCTGAGAAAATGGTGATAAAAGGCAAGACTTTATGTAGATAGTTATCATGTGTAACTTCTCATCCATTCCAGGGTATAGGGAGCTATTACTTTGGTGCTGTTTGAGAATGTAGGAGATTTACCGTATTCATCCATTCACAAATATTTACTGGAGTCCTGCTACATATAGTAAAGAAGCTACTAGGGAAAGTGGGAATTTAGCTGAGTCTATACTGTTAAACACAAAACCAAAAATAAATGTATTCTCTGTTGTTTAGACTTCATTCTTCATGTATAAAGTCTTGTTCCTTTGTCATTTATAGATTGACTTTTTTGTGGTAAAAGGCAGGTGTGTTCAGGCAAAAGGAAAAACTGCCCCCAAAGGCCTTAGGGTTATACAGGGACAACTGTATTCAAATACTACTTTTTGGTAACCATAAACATCAGGAACACAGCAGACAATGTGCAATTAAGTGAAAGTGAAAAAATAGCTATCTCAAAACCCATGCATTTGGTTCCATGTTATCATTCTCAGGCCTTTACCCAGACAACTATGTAAAAAAAAAAACATACAGGTTAGAAGATTGGAGGATACATTCAATAGTGTGGTCTTATAGGAAGAAGTGAGCCTTTTCCTTGAGAAACCCCATTTCTTGTGCCATTGAACTCATCTTTTTCTCTCTCCTCTGGGATCTGGACCCTTAAGTTATTCTCTGTCTCTTTCTGTCTCTCTGTCCTGTGTGTCTGTCTGCCTGTCTGTCTCTCTCTCTCTCTCTTACCCTCTTACCCTTCCTCTCTCCATATCTACTGGCTCACTCCTTGCTTCCTGCAAACATGTCCACATATTTAAAAAAAAAAAAAATACTTTACAAGGTTTGAAGTGCCATAGAAACATTAGTTACTATTATTATCCTTAAAAAACAAAACAAAACAACACCAACAACAAAATCTTTCACTTGATTGTCTTCCCCCTATATCTGTCCTAACTTTCCTGATTTCTTTAAGGCACTACTCAAATTCCATCTTCTATAGGAAGCTTTTCCTGTCCTTCCCCACTTGGCTAGTACCTTCCCTCTGAAATTACCTTCCTTGTGTGCTGTATATTTTTTATATGTACATAGTTATTTGCATGTCTCCTCCATTAGAATGGAACTCCTTGAGGGCAGAAACTTTATTTTTGCTTTCCTTTGTATTCCCAAAGTTGAACATGGTGACTGACACATATTAGACACTTAATGCTTGTTGACCCATTGATTCCTTAATCACCAAACTCATAACAGTGTGTAATCACTCAAGCAAAAATTATCATAAAGGAACCTGGATGACATAAAGGGAACACACCAGCAGATTGCCCAATTAGATTTTAAAAGAACAAAAGAGAAAAAGATGCTTATTTTTCCCTGTGGATTCCTGAAAATTAGGGTATCCAATAATGAGAACCCTAGATGAGGAATTGTCTCTCCTTTGGGTTCGTACAAATTTGAAGGGCTGAAAAAATTATGCCAGATGAAGCCCCTACGTAACATCCTTTCTGGGGCTACAGGTTCACAGAATCACAGAGTTTGTGAATTGGAAGGAACGATTTAGTGCAATCCACACATGAAAGGAATATCTGCTATAACATGCCCAGCAAATGGCCATCCAGCTTGTGCTTGGAGACCTTTGAGGAGAGGGAACCCAATAATCCAAAAGGGTTTTCACACATGGAATATAATAAGGCCTTTCCTCCCTTTGTAGAGTTTGGGTGAAGGTCCTCTAAAGTCTTACTCTGCTTGTCAGTCCCTTTCTGCAGTCTACAGCTGACACATTGTCCACTCTGAGAGATCGCACTCCCTGAAGCTACCTCTGTCTTGAGCCTTTCTGTATCCATCTATAACCATTTTCACTACTATCAACCATTATCACCCCTGGTCTCTTCTGCTACCGTTCAATTCTTATGGGATCTTTGGATCTCCCAAATTCACATCATTGCCTAAACAGGTACATCTTGGAATACTTACCTAAGATTGAAGAAGAATAAACACAAGCAAAGATGTCCATGTGCTCACAGCTGCCGTGTGGAAGGGGAGCAGGGCCTCTACCCCTTTCCTACCCCACTCTCAGGACTTGTTCAAAGTGTTCCTCACTTAAAGGAACATCAAGGAAAGAGAATAAAAAAAAATGCTAGTCACTCCTTTTGTGTGCTCATCCAGCTCAGCAGCCTCTGAGTCAAAAGTTCTTTTAGCTCTGCAGCTAATTAGAATATTCTTTATCATCACATAGTACCAACCACTGAGTCATCCACATGGTAGCTGGGACTGAAACCAGGCAGGAAATAAGCTCCATATTTCAATGACGAGTCTTCACAGACCAGCCCACCCATTCTATATGTACATGACAGTTTATAAAATGCTTTTCTTTTCAACAACCCTGTGAGGTAGGTCATACAAATATTATTTTTAAGGGGATTAAAATTTTATACACACACATGTATTTAATCACTTTCATTTCTGAATATATCTTCCCATCTACCCAGCAAGCCATCCCTAGTAAGAAAGATTTTAAAAGAGTAAAAAAAGCATTTTAGCAAAACCAACCAACATGTGAACTATGTCTTAGATTAGATGCAATATATATTATAATTATGCATATATATACATGTGTATGTATATATATGCACCTATAGTTCCCCACCTCTGCAAAGAAGTGAGTCAGGAGTGCAATTTTTATCATTACAATTAAACAGATAGGAAACAGGGCCCAAAATCACGTGATTTCTCCATGGTAGTACAACTAATAGTGAACTGAGGTTTTAATACTTACAGGTTCTTGATTTCCTGGACCAAAAGTCTTGAAACTTGAAAGAAAAATCTTAAATGAAAATATACCACCTTTTGATTGCTTGCAAATGAGCATCTTTCCCCTATCTTTCTGTTTCTTTCTTATAATTATGTATCTTCATTTAAAATATTTATTGTTTTCAGTAATGATTGCTAAAAGCAGAAATATTAGTAATTTAAGTTGCAATTATTTATTCTGGGTGGTCACTTCTTTACTGAGTGAGTGTTGGATTCTCAAAGATTAATGCAGGTTGCCAAGAATAATGTTTGGAGTAGGATCTAGATGTTATCTTATCTTTTCCCCAGATCCTGCCCTCCCCCCACAATTTCAGAGTAAATTATGGAATGTGGAGTGGAGAAATTATATAAATCAATATGGCATTTTTCACTGAAGCAGTACAGAATGGAATCTTAGTGACCTGTAGGAATTAGAAATACATGAGCACAATTTCCCAATTTTGAGAATGACTTATATAGTCACTAGTGGATTTTAGATTTTTTAATTATCCTTATACCATTTTCATGATGTAGTATCAGCATATAGATTCTTACTAATGAACTTAGCATATCAGCTTTGTAGTATGAGATAGTTTTGATCTTGGATACAGGAAAATCTGGGTTTAAATCTGGTTTTTGACACTTATTACATGTATTTACCCACAGGAAGACTCTTAACCTCTGTGTTTCTCAGACAATTCCCAGGACTTACCTACTAAGTTATAGATAGATTGTGATCTGTGTTTGGTGGAGAGAGTTTCTGTTGCATTAAGGAAGTCATAGCTCCTTCAAATTTCAGATATCCTTATCATCGGCCTGTTTATAACAAAAGTCCTTCCCTGATTAATGTTTTTTATCCTAAATCTTTATGTTTCTTATTAGTGTATGTACCTTGATGTTATATTTGATTGTAAACTTCTAATTGATAGAGTGTCTTTAATGATATATGTACAATTAGATATATAACAACTATTTTTTAATATTTTGTTAATAAAGGTGACTGCAATGATACTGGGACCCAGTTTTTCATTCTTATATTGTTACTTTTATAACATATTTATGTAATATATATAATGTATATATATATATATAACATGTATATATGTAACTTTTATAACATATATGTATGTGTATGTATATATGTTTTACACTATAAGTTTGACTCTTAATCACCAGGAGTAAACTTTGTAGAGATAGATATGAGCCGGCAAAAGAGGCCCGTTTTTTGGCCAGAAATATCTTCAGTCTCACCTTACAAACAGAAAAGTTCTCTAGGTAGATTGAAACTGATCCTTGTAATCATTAAGCCCTCTTGTTAGCTTTATGAAAGTGGTTTTCCTAGTATCATCAAAGTTAGAATCCATAAAATATGAAGTATTTTTAGTATTTTCCTGATGAAGTAGTAATATGAGTAGAAAGAAATAACTTTTTTAATTCTTTAGATAATTTTTAGAGAACCTAGAAATTGTCCCACTGGCACAGAATAACAATTTATCTTTCTGATGTCCAGCTGTTTCTAATATAGGATGACTCAGGGAAAAGTGAAAATTCCTATTCAGTGTATTCGATTGTGCAATCTCATATTAGTGTGCATACACTGAGTCCCAAGGGGCAAGGAGTTTTCATATTAATGTATCAGATCTGACAGTTGTTTTGGATTTATCATTTTGATGTGCAGTAGAACTTGACTAACTGGAATGCTTGAGTAATAGTGTATTTTGTTTACTCAGTTTTTCAGGTTAACTCAGGGCTAACTAGAAAATCCTTTTCAACTCCTATTGAAAATCTTTTCTAAAATTTATTTACCTACTTGCCTGATTTGGTAAGTAGAACTTAATTTTTCTGTGTTAATGTGGGATCTTCCAGCACCTCAGTCATATCATTTTAATATAGAAGAGTAGTAGATTGAGTTAAATATGTTCTGACCTCAAGATCTACTCTTGAAATTACATTTATTATTAAATCCCTGGAGTAAACTTTCTTTTATTGGCAGTTTTTAAAATTTCTCAAAGTTAGTTGGTCTTTGCATAACTGAAGTTTTATTACATTTTGAAACAACCCATGTTTTGTTTAACACAATATACATCATGCTGTTCAGATTATTTTAAAATTGTGTAATTAAAATATATTATTTTAGCCTATTTTACTTATAATTTCAGTTTGCATATGCACTCTAATATTATTTCTCTTTAGAGTTATTGGAAGAATTCAGTCCAGTTGTTGAAAGATTGGGATTTGATGAAAATTTTGTGGATATAACCCAGACGGTTGAGAAGAGACTGCATCAGCTACAAAGTGATGACTATTCTGTATTGGCTGTCTCTGGTCATGTTTACAATAATCAGTGTGAGTTTTTATTTTCCCACTTAGTCACTATTGAGAGTATTTTATATCTCGTTACTTTGTTATACTGAAACTTTATGCTTTGGGAGCAATATTACTCTTTGTAGTTAAGGTAACCCACACAGTTAAGAATCTTTCTGGGGTATTTAATCCCTACATTAAAAGTTGGATAGCTTAGCAAATATTACTGATATATGGAATAGTCATTATAGCTAGGTGTGACAACCCTACCACTTTTCAATACTGTTTTCAAAAGTTACCTACTGCTTCTCTCTTATAACTTCAAAAGAGTTAATATCTTCAAGAGAGTTCTTTTTCATTTCCCCTCACTGTATCATTCCCACACCACGCCTGTCTAAAGGCAGAATTTCAAAGTAAATTAAGTTTATCTTTGGTTTCCTTCTACATTTTTTTCCTGGGACTTTGTCCAGTCTCCTAATACCACCTCTTCTCCAGATACCTATTGTTTCATATTTCTTTATGGTTGCTCAAAGTGTCACATTTTAACAGTAGTTCATTTCAGCCTGCCTTCCCTGCAGGAAAGTGATTGGGATCTTTAAGTATTTGAAGGACTGTCATATCATTAGACTTTTTTGAGAGTGACCTCAGAGGACAGAATTAAGAGCAAAGGGTAGAAGATGCGAAGTGAACTTGATTAACTCTATATGAGGAAACCAGAGCTCTCCAATATGGAGTGGGCTGCCTCAGAAGATGGGTTTGCCATTAGTAGTGGTCTTCATCAAGAACCTGGATGATCCTTGAGTTACTTTCTGACTCTACTGTTATGTGAAACTTCCTTTGTTCTTATTATTATGTTAATACAGTTCCATATTATATTAGATTTTCTGGAAGTAATTTATACTGTTTATTCATATTGGCTTGGTAACCAACTATAAGCCCTAGATATTTTACCTATAGACTGGTGCTAAACATTGTATTTCCCATCCTGCTTTTGAACCCAAGAGCAAGTTTTTGCATCTTGTTATTTTAATCATTTTTACATCTTAGTTGACTTTTCATCTTGTTAGTTTGCCATTTCTAAATTATTTTGATGTTTGTGAATCTTGATATTTGTTATTGTTCTTAGCTTTCTGTCATCTGTAGCTGGTGAACATTAATGTTTTTGACAGGTCAGGGCCAAATCATTCACCTAGCTGTTTTGTTGTTGTTCAGTTGTGCCCAATATTTCATGAACCTATAGCTGTCCATGGGATTTTCTTGGCAAAGATACTGGAGTGGTTTGCCATTTTCTTCTCTAGTGGATTAAGGCAAACAGAAGTTAAGTGACTTGCTCAGGGTCACACAGCGAGTAAGTGTCTGAGGCTGGATTTGAACTCGCATCTTCTTGACTCTAGGCCATCTGCTGAGTCACCTAGCTGCCTTCTGTACCTAGCTGTGCATATACCTAAGTATTATCCAGCCCTGTCAGCTTTAGAATCCACTTCCCCCCATTCCTTTCTGGCATGGGAAGGCATGGCTAGTTCTAATAGAAGGGCCAGGTCAGACAAAATAAGCCATCTTTATTAATCTTTTCCACAAGGATAACCTCTCAATTTAGTCTTTATTATAATTATTATCATCATTATTATTGTTTTTATTCCTGAAACCTAGATTATATGTGCAGTTCTTCTGATCGGTAGGTGGAATTTTCATAAAAAATTAGTTAAGTTTGATATGACTTGTTTTTAGTGAACCCATGGTAGCTCTGCTTTCTTTTTTAAGTGACCACAATTCATATGTTTAATACATTCTCAAATTTTACTGCTGACATCAAACTATAGTTTCAAGACCCCATTTTTTTCCTTATTCAAAATAGTTGCTTATCATTTGGCACCATCCCCATCTTTTGCCATCACTCAAACATTACCAAAAATTGTTCTGGAATCATATCTGAAAGGTCTTTTAATTCATTAGGATATATTTTTCTGTGCTTGTCAATTTGAATTAAAGTGCCTAGGTGGTCTATTATCCAACTTTATGTTTCAATTACCTTTTAGCCATATCTGTTTTACTTTTTGCTCTTTGGAGGAGAAACAGAAATAAAATAAAGAGTTGTTTTGCTTTCTCGTGTCTCACCCTTGAGGAAGACCTAGAATTCCCTTGTTAGTTGTCTGAAACACCATAGCTGCTAAAATGCCCTTTTAAAAATTGTTTTTAGCATTTCTCACAAGGCTAAGTTCATTTTGGACTTTAACCTTCCTGACATTAACTTTATAGGACCATGCCAGTTTTAGTATTTGTCCTTGGTTTGTGTAGCCCTTCTTACTATCTTTCATGTGTAAAATTTCACATTTAAACTCACTGTTGAGTTCTTGTACAATTAGTCTCTTTAAACCTTTCCTTTTGTCTCTTTATTAGTATTATTTGTAATTGTAATGTCAGAACTTTATTGTTTATAGCCAACTATCTTTCTTTTAGAAACCTCCATTAAAAACTCTGGTCATACAATTTTATCTCTCTTTTCTTTGAACTTTTTGAAACTTGGTTTCCTAAAATCTGACTATGCCTAGTACTTCTTTTCCTAACTCTTATGAGGCTAACTTTTCTCAGTGTTTTCACCACTTCTTTCTCAGTAACCAGTTATTCCTTTTTCTTCAGCATTAAGGTAGAGAGTAGCGGTAACCTTAACTTTTCCTTCATATTCTGAAAAGATTTCTCCAAGGCAAGAGTTTATTAGATGCTTTTTGCATATTTTTTGCATGATTTACTTATTCTGTTTCCCTTGAAGCTCAGTTTTCCAGATGTCTAGTTTAGGTAATTTTGAAAAGAACTACAGTAAATAGTTCATTTTTAATGTGTATTTTTAAAGTCAAGTTTATATTGATTGCAATTATATTTAGAGGTAAATGCTAGTGAAATTTTTATTAGTGCTGATAGTAATTTTTTATAAGAAGGGAGGTAAAATCCTTTTATTATTTTTCATACTCATTGAATGTATATTGTAATTTTGTCACACTAATTATAAAAAATGATAATTGGTATTCAAATTATCAAGTATAACACAATTTTTTAAATTATGTTATATAGAGAAAGCATAAGGTTACAGCTAATTGTATAACATACATTTTGGAACACCTTTTAATCCACAGTCATTTATTATTTTTAAATTAAATTAGCATTTTTGGCTACATTTTAAGTTCCAGACTGTCCCTTTCTCTCTCTCCCCATGCTGCACTAGAGAAAGTTACCGTTTGACACTGTGTGTGTGTGTGTGTGTGTGTGTATGTGTATGTGTGTGTGTAAAACCACACTATGCATATTTTTATTTATCATTTCTTTCTCTGCAGGTAGATAGCATCTTCCTTCATAGGTCTTTTGTAGTTGATTTGAATATTTATAATGCTTAGAATAGTTTAGTTGTTCACAGTTACTCTTTGAACAATATTGCTGTTACTATATCCAACGTCTCTTGATTCTGCTTTTATTTCACTCTTCATTATTTCATGCAAGTCTTTTCATACTTTTCTAAAATCAACCAGCTCATCGTTTTTTACAGCACAGTAGTATTCCATTACAGCCATGTACCATAACTTGTTTAGCCTTTCCCCAGTTGATGGACATCCCCTCACTTTCCAGTTCTTTGCCACTGCAAAAAGAGCTGCTATAAATATTTTAGAACATACAGATTCTTCTCCTTTTTCCCTGATCAACTTGGGAAACAGACCTACTAGTGGTATTGCTGGGTTAAAGGGTGTACACAGTTTTATAATTCTTTGGGCATGATTCCAGATTGCGCTCCAGAATAGTTGGATCAGTTCACAGTTCCACTAACAGCATATTAATGTCCCAATTTTTCCACATCCCCTCCAACATTTGTCATTTTCCCCTTCTATCATTTTAGCAAGTCAGACAGGTGTGAGAGGATATCTCAAGTTGTTTTAATTTGCATTTCTCTAATCAATAATGATTTAGAGTATTTTTTCATATGACTATATATAACTTTGATGTCTTCATTCATACGCTTCCTGTTTATATCCTTTGACCATTTGTCAATTGGGGAATGACTCATATTCTTATAAATTTGATGAAATTCCCTGTGTATTTGAGGTATGAGACCTTTATCCAAGAAATGTCCATAAAAATATTTCCCCAATTTTCTGCTTTCCTATTAATTTTGGGTACATTGGTTTTATATGTACAAATCCTTTTTATTTTAATATAATCAAAATTATCCATTTTCTATTTCAGTGCTTTCTATCTGTTCTTTATTCATAAATTCTTCTCCTATCTATAAGTCTGATAAATAATGTGTTCCATGTTCTTCTAATTTATTTGTGGTATCTCCCTTTATATCTAAGTCATATATCCATTTTGACCTTATCTTGGTAAATGGTATAAGATATTAATGTATACCAAGTTTCTATCAGACTGCTTTCCAGTTTTTCCAACAATTTTTGCCAAAGGGTGAATTATTTTTTTTTTTTTTTTTTTTTTTAGCTTTTGTTTGGTGAGGCAATTGGAGTTAAGTGACTTGCCAAGGGTCACGCAGCTAGTAAGTGTCAAGTGTCTAAGACTGGATTTGAACTCAGGTCCTTGTGACTCCAAAACCAGAGCTCTATCCACTGTGCACCTAGGTGCCCCAAGAGTGAATTCTTACCCCAGAAGCTTAGATCCTTACATCTGTCAAGCACAAGAATCATTTACTACTATATATTGTATAGCTTCTCTTTTCTATTGAACCACCTTTCTTTTTCTTAATTAATATCAGACAGTTTTGATAATTACTGCCGTATAATATGGTTCAAGATATGGTACTGCTAAACCTTCTTCATTTACATTTTTTCCTTTAATTCCTTTGATATTCTTGACCTTTTGTTCTTCCTAATGAATTTTGTTTTTATTTTTTCTAGCTCAATAAAATAATTTTTTGATAATTTAATTAAGAGGGCATTGAATAAATATATTAGTTTAGGTAGATTGTCATTTTTATTATTTTGACTCTGCCCACCCATGAACAATTAATATTTCTCCAGTTATTTAAATCTGACTTTATTTGTGTAAAGAATGTTTTATAATTATATTCATATAGGTGCTGTGTTTGTCTTGACAGGTGTGCTTCCATGTATTTTATGCTGTCTGTGGTTATTTTAAATGGAGTATCTCTTACTATCTCTTCTTGCAGGGTTTTGTTGGATATAGAAATGCTAAAGATTTATGTGGGTTCGTTTTATATCCTACTACTTTGCTAAAATTATTCATTGTTTCCACTAGCTTTTTAGTTGAATCTCTAGGATTTTCCAAGTATATCTTCATATTGTCTGCAAAAAGAGATAGTTTTATTACTTCAATGCTCATTCTGATTCTTTCAATATCTTTTTCTTCTCTTATTGCTATTGCTAGCATTTCTAATACAATATTGAATAATATTGGTGATAATGGGCATCCTTGTTTCACCCCCTGATCTTTTTGGGAAGGCTTCTGGCTTATCCCCATTACAGATAATGCTTACTTATGATTTTAGGTAGATGCTTTTTATCATTAAGGAAAAATCCTTTTATATGTATGCTTTCAAGTATTATTAATAGGAATGAGTATTGTATTTTGTCAGAAGCTTTTTCTTCATCTATTAATATAATCATATGATTTTTGTTACCTTTGATATTGATAAAAATCAATTATATTAATAGTTTTCCTTATGTTAAACCATCCCTTCATTAATCTTTGTGATATATGGTTGTAGTCTCCTAGCCAGTATTTTATTTACCAATTTTGCATCCATATTTGTTAGTGAAATTGGTCTATAATTTTCTTTCTCTGTTGCTCTTCCTGATTCAGGTATCAGCACCATATTTGTTTCAAAAGAGAAGTTTGGCAGGACTCCTTCTTTGTCTATTATTCTAAATAATTTATTTAATATTGGAATTAATTGAATAATATTGGATATTGGATAATATTGAATTGATCTTTAATTGTTTGGTAGAATTCACTTGTAAATCCATATGCTCCTAATGCTTTTTTTCTTAGGAAGCTCATTTATCGTCTGTTCAATTTCTTTTTTCTTCAATAGGTTTATTTAGATATTCTGTTTCCTCTTTGTTAACCTAGGCAGTTTATATTTTTGTAAGTATTTTTCCTTTGTGCTAAAATTGTTAAATTTATTGGTATGTAATTTGGCAAAATAACTCCTAATAATTGTTTTAATTTTATCTTCATTAGTGGTATATTCAACCTTTTCATTTTTGATACTAGTGATTTGGTTTTCTTCTCTCTTTTTTTAAAGCATATTAACCAATGGTTTATCTCAACAATTACTTGTTGAATATCCACAGAATATATTCACAATGTTACAGGTTCTTTATATCAGGTAATAATATCACTCTTTGGCTTATAACAACCCTGTGAACCACAGAGAAAATAAGATAAAATGTGTGGCAGTGTGAGGGCAAAAATAATAGACTCAGTAAGGGAGATGGCTTCCTATCCCCCTTCTAGCTCTTTATTTAACATTTAACCATGTTATATTGTTTTTATAGCTGTAAACCTAAATGATGTTTTGCATGTGAGATTACTCATTGGATCTCAGATTGCGGCAGAGATGAGAGAAGCTATATTTAATCAGCTGGGTCTCACAGGCTGTGCTGGAGTAGCTTCGAATAAACTGTTGTCCAAATTAGTCTCTGGCACCTTTAAACCAAATCAGCAAACAGTGTTAATGCCTGAAAGTTGTCAAGATCTCATTGGTAGTTTGGACCACATAAAGCAAATGCCTGGTAAGAAAGATGGGCTTTGAAAGTATTTGCTTTATTTGTATTTTGTTGCTTTTGAATCTTTTCGGAAATAACAATGTGTTCCATGAATGTATTAGGATTCTTGTTCACTTATAAAAAAAATAAGTAACCTCCAATAAGTAACCCATGTTAAATACATAGGAAATATGGGGATAATTTCTAAACTCATTGCTATGTATGATTTTTGGGGGGGGAGGGGAGGGCTAGGCAATGGGGTTAAGTGACTTGCCCAGGGTCACACAGCTAGTAACTGTCAAGTGTGTAAGGCCAGATTTGAACTCAGGTTCTCCTGACTCCAGAGTCGGTGCTCTATCCACTGTGCAACCTAGCTGCCACCATGTATACTTTTATCTGGTCAATAAAAGTATTAGCATAAAATTAATTATAAACAAGAAGTATAATATAATTTGGTTAAATTTTGTCATGTCTAGACTCTTCTCCATTTCCTTCCATTTCCAGAGTGTACAGTATAATAAAGTAGGAGACTGTCTTCTCCTGACTCTGTTTTGCTCTGTTTTTTTTTTCAGAAGGTTAAATGGTTGAATAATTTAGAATCATTTAGTGATAGTAACACCACATAATGAATGTAGTAACAACACATTTATCTAGCATTATTGGAGAGTGAGGTTAGAAGATTTTTTGATGAAAATTGTTCTAATAAACACTTTTCTACCCTCAAATTAACATAATTTAAACTTTTCTTAGCATCTTGACAGGGTGAGGATCAAATGAAATAATATTTGTAGTGTTTAGCACAGTGCCTGGCACATAGTAGGTGTTATATAAACACTTATTCCTTTCCTCCGTTCCCCTTTCCCATCTTCATTGTAAGAATTATCAGAATATAGTGATATCCTTCGGGCTTATTAAAGTGGTGTATAGGACTATTTGCTCCCAAACTAAATGGCCATGGCCTGCTACATTTTTTGAATTCTTGGGCCTGCTTTTTGCATTTTTGTGTCCTTTTACCTTTTCCACCTGATTACTTTCAGCTTGTGTGTCCCCAGCAGTCTTCCTTTCTAATTCACTAGTTCTGACTGCTATGGGTTGATAAAACAAATAAACAAGCTTTATTAAAATTTTGCTTAAAAGAAGAATAAGATTCTAAATAAGGGTAGAAGGTGTTTTTCTTAAAGTGAATAAGCTTCAGAGTTTCAATTCAATGACATTTATTTTGTTTATTTTAAGGCCTTTCGTGTTTATATCCTGGAATTTATATGTTTCCTAGGTATTTTGTTGTTGTTTGTCATTTTTCAGTCGTGTCCAACTTTTCATGACCCCATTCGGGGTTTTCTTGGCAAAGATACTGGAGCGGTTTGCTATTTCCTTCTCCAGCTCATTTTACAGGTGAGGAACTGAGACAAATAGGATTAAGTGACTTGTCTGAGGCCAGATTTGAACTCAGGAAGAAGAGTCTTCCTGACTCCAAGCCCAGCACTCAGTCAACTGCATCCCTTACCTTCCCTCTAGATATTTAGGACTACCAAATATATAACCGTATGATCGTATAGTTAGAATGAGAAGAGACCTCAGAGATCATCTCCTGTAATGGTTGTCAAAATATGCTCCAAGGACCCCAGGGACCACTGAGACCGTTTCATGGGGTCCATGAGTTTAAAACTATTTTCATAGTCATAATACTGTTATTTTTCCATTAAAACATTCCTCCCTTTTCTATCTACATATCTTTGTGAGGCCAGAGTTTTTTCATATACTTCCAACCAGAGCATCATTTTTTCACAGAGAGAATACAAGAGCAGATAAGAGAATCCAAATGTCTTCTGTTAAGTCAGACATGCAAAAATATGTGAAACAATGCCACTCTTCTCATTAATTTTTTGTTTTAAAAATGTGGTTATTTTCACACAAAAAACATGCTATTTGTGTTTACATGAAGTGGGTTTATTATTTTAAGTGAATTCATAAGTATTTTTAAAATGATCAGTTTTAATATCTAATATGGTAGATATTGCTACATAACAGTTACACACATAAACAAAAGCTCTTTGAGGTCCTCAGTAATTTTTTTTTTTTTTTGCTTTTTTGGTGAGGCAATCAGGGTCACACAGCTAGTAAGTGTTAAGTGTCTCAGGTTGGATTTGAATTCAGGTCTTTCTGACTCCAAGGCCAGAGCTCTATCAACTGTGCCACTTAGCTGTCCCAGACCTCCATAATTTTTAAGAGTATAAAGGGGTCCTGAGATTAAAAAAAATTTGAAAATCACTGATATACTGAAACCTCCTAACTTAAGATAAGAAAATTAAGACCTGTAGAGGGTCTTAGGCTAACTAGTTAACTAAGGGCAACTAGCTAACTAAGTGTCAGGGCTGGAATTCAATACTAGGTGCTCTCATTATAAATCCAGTGCTCTTTTCTACTATACCATGTTGGTTTCCAAGGCTTCTAGATAAATGAGGTGTTACTGTACTTAAAAATTGTAGTGGATAAATACAAATCATTCTTATTTATGTGAAAGCCAACATGGTGTAACGGAACAAGTGATTGATTTGGAAATGTGGGATTGTACCCTGCTTCCAGCACTCATGCTATGACTCTAAGTATGCCACCTAAACTCAGAGCCTGTTACGGCATCTGTAAAATGGTTAATAAATATATTTGGTGCCTCTTTCCCAGGTTATTATGAAAATCAAATGAGAAACTGCATAAATTCCCTTTTCTAAACTTGAGTTCTTATTTGTATTACTTTAGTATTAGATATTCTAATTAAATTCTCTATTGAGAAATAGAGGGAAAAAAGTAAAGGCCTATATCAGATTGTGCGCTGTCGTGGGGAGGGAAAGAGAGGAAAAGTTAAAACTCAAAAGCTTATGGAAGTGATTGTTGATAAATCAAAATAAATTAATTTTTAAAAAAATAGAGGCAACTGATGGCTCAGTGGATAGAGCACTAGGCCTAGAATCAAGAAGATCTGAGTTCAAATCTAGTCTCAGAACACTTCCTAGCTGTGTGACCCTGGGCAAGTTACATAACCTCTGATTGTCTGACAAAAGGATCCACTGGATCCATTGAAGAAGGAAATGGCAAACCCCTGTAGTATCTTTGCCAAGAAAACCTCATGGACCATGGGGTCATGGAGAATCAGACACAACTAAATGACAGAACAACAACAAATTTGAAAAATACCTGTGAATTGCTAACATCTTCAGTGTTATTTAAAACAAGATGAAAGTTTCATTTAATTTAACAAACATTAAAAAATAACAATTATGATAGTACTCTGCTGGGCTCTTGTAGGGAAACAAAATATATAGTCCCTGTTTTCCAGAACTACAGCCTAATTCAGAATGAGTTTGGTCTTTGGAAATTTCTGTACTAAAATTAAAAAGCTTAGATGATTAATTATTAATCCTTGTTAATTTTATTTGTATGTGAAATACTGCATTCATTCATCTTTTTCTTATTACCTAGGTATTGGCTATAAAACTACCAAACGCCTTGAATCATTGGGTATCAGTAGTGTCCATGATCTCCAAACCTTTTCACCTGAAATACTAGAGAAAGAACTAGGAATTTCAGTTGCTCAGCGTATACAGAAGTTCAGCTTTGGAGAAGATAACTCCCCTGTGACTCCTTCAGGACCACCTCAGGTGAATGTTTCATGTAAAGTTCTGTGCAACTTTTCAGAGTGAAAGAAAGAGTTTTGAATACTACATTTATAGTCAATTAAAATTTTAAGAGTTTTGGTGTGTCACAACTAAACTTTTCTAATTTGATTGGTTAACCCAGGGGTGGGGGACCTGTGGTCTCAAGGACACATGTGGCCTTTTAAATCCTTAAGTGCGGCCTTTTGACTGAATTTGCATCCAAATTCAGTCAAAAGGCCGCACTTAAGGATTTAGAAGGTCATAGGTTCCCCACCCCTGGGTTAATGAAACAATCCTTTCTTCATAAAATTATGATTTGTTGCATAAGATCAATAATTGTTTTTAAATCAAAGACAATTTAGAAAAGGGTTTACTATTTTACATAACTAATTTGAATAAAATGCAGCCAGTTTTCATGTGCACAAAAGACAAAATTAAGTTTTAAATTTCTATTCTTGTAATATAGCTTTGCTTAATTATACTGTACATTGTTGATGTTAAACACGGTATTTTTAAATTATCTAAAATCAATTTTATGAAGACTTAGTGGTGTTTTATAATAGATATGCTTAGAAGGTAAGATATTTCTTAGGAAGATGGGAGTAACGGTGAAGGGTGACAGAAGTATTGCTAAATTGATACATTTATCAAATGAAATAATAATTGTAGAGCATTTAGCATGTATTGCTTGGCACATAGTAAGCACTATATAAATGTTAGCTCTTATTATTAGTATTCTATAAATATATATGTAGACAGATATGCACATTTATTTTAACTTATTCTTTTTGACTTCATAAAAGGAGATTATAAGAGAAAGAATTTTTACTGCAGTCAAATGAGTTCCATTGATAAACAAATTCAACAATAATTTTAATGTGCTAAAGGAAACTGAAAGGAAGAAGGATGGAAAAAAGTCCACATTTACCGAATTGAAAAGGCAAAAATAGCTAGGGGAAAAACATGTTGCATAGTACAAAGATTAAATTATTAGCAGTGTAGCGTAAATGTCAAGAGTATGGATATTTGGGGAAACTATTACAATTCTTAATCTTTTCAACCACTTGTGTGATGAAATCCTTAGGTAAATTCCTTTTTTGAGTGTGCCTTACCTGATTTTAATTCAGGCTTTGTTTTTTAATATTTAAACATTCTTCAATTATTTATCTTCTGTTGTGTGACAGTCTTTATTCAACGTTAGTTAACTCCATATCCCATTCTCTAAAGTGCTGTTCCAAACCAATTTTACTCTCTTCAAGTCTGTAACCCACTTCTGACTTCTGCGCTCTGCAGATAGCCTACTTTTCTGAGGTGAAGGCCATCTATCTACTTTGAAATTCCTTGACTTTCCTCACATTCTCTTCCTTCCCTCCTGTTTCAGATGAACCTTTCTTCCTAAGATCTACTCCTTTTCTTTTCCCCAGTTTATTTCCTTCCCATCTTCAGTACCTTTCTTCATCATCCATACTCTTTAATGTGTTTTAAGTTGCTTTTATCCACTCACCCTATCCTTTATACCTATAAACGTGCTCAGGTCTCCTCTAACTCCCCTAACTTTTCCTCACCTTCCTCATGTTACCTAGTCAATGTTCCTCCTTTCTTTCTTCATGCTGATCACACTCACTGTCTTATATACCCTCGTCTTTTGACTTGCAAACTTCTTGAAGAACACTCTGTGCATCCCTCTTGTGCCTTCCTTAGATGGTTATCAGCTACTAGTTCCTCAGTTCCATGCAACTGCATCATTTCTCACTACTCTACAGAAACTTCTTACATTGCTATTAATTTCCAAATTGCCAAATCCAATGACATTTCTCATTTGTTATCTTTTGCCTCACTATTGCATTTAACAATATTCACAACCCTTTTTGTCCTCTCCTTCTACAACTACTTCTGAAGTGACTCCAAAAAGTCTTTGTTGACTCCTTTCCTTCTCATGCCTTATCTTTTCCCAGGATTTTGTCCTTAGTCTGTTTCTCTTCTCTTTCTCTTGGTGATCTCATTGACTCTTGGGGCTGTGGTAAGTTAAACCCAGTGAATGACTTCCAAATCTCTATCTTCAGCTCAATCTCTGGACCCCAATTTCATATTTTCTGTTTAAATTCAACATGTGTAACATAAACTCATAGAATCATAGCACTGGAAAGGACACTTAAAGGTTATTTAGCTCATTGCCTACCCTTAGTATAAGTCCTTATTAAAACTGATTATCTTCATCTCCACATTTATTCTTCTTTCTGACTTCTGCATTTCTGTTAATGGGATTGCCATTCTTCTAGGCACTCTCAGCACCAATTTTTATTTGTTTCTTTCCCTTCTTTACCTTCCATGTTCATTTGGTTAAACTCAGCACACATCTTCTAAGTGCCTGGTATGTGCAAGACATTGGGCATACAAAGATAAAACAAGACAATTGCTGATTCCAAGGAGCTTATGTTCTACTAATTGTGATTCAAGGGCTTTGTAGCACTGGTATAGCTCTTGAGGCCATCTTTGTTTGCCATCACTACTCTAGTCCAGATCACCTTGCCCAGTCTATTACAAAAACTGCTAAACTCATCTTCCCATCTATGATTTCTTCCCCATTTAATTGTTCCTATACACTATTTCAGATCAGTGTTACTGTATAGATGTGATTGTATCATTCTACACAGAGAAGCAACATGGCATAGTGAAAAAAAAAAACCCACAATATAACAGTGTTCTTGGTTCTGAGTCCTGCCTGCCATTTACTAGCCATTTGGCTGTATGCATGTCATTAATCTTTCAAAGAGAGCCCAAGCTTTTAAGCTATAAAATGGATTTGCACCACTTATTTCACAGGATTATTTTGAGGAATAAGCTGTAAAGGCTGTTATTATTGTTGCTCAAAAACCATCAGTGGTTCTCCTTTGCCCAAGGGTTACATTCCATACCTTATTGCCTGGCACTCGAGTCCCTCTACAGAATGGCTCCAACCTATCTTTCTGGTCTTACCTTACTCACTTTCCTGTAATCTATTTATTCTGTTTTATTTAATCTCAGCTATTCAGTTATTTATGTACATACCTTGTCTCCCCTGCTGGATTTTAAACTTCTTGTGGTCATGGGACATGTATTTTATTGCCTTCAATCTCTATCATGTTTTCTGTTTAGTAGGCACTTAATAAGTATTTATTGAATCAAGTTATCTTAATTCACAGCAGCTCTGGTATGAGGTAAGATGGGAAGGATACGATCACCTTCATTTTACTGAAATTGAAGCAGAGCTTTCCTGAAGTCACAGTAGGGTTGGAGCTAACACTGGAGCCCCAACATTCCAGGAAGCTTCTAAAAGGCTGGTATTGTAGCACATCATCCAATCAGTCAGCTTTCTTAACCACAATTCCAGAATGCTTTCCATTAGAGCATATTACTCTTATTAAGGATACTAACTGTTAAAAATATAACTAAATATAACTAAACCTAAGGAATTAATAAAGTGTGGTAGATATGAGTAAAGAATTTATATAAGTGCCCTTATTTAGAAACATAGAATCCTAGATTTAGAGCTAGAAGATAACTTACAGACCATCTAGGTCAGTCCCTTATTTTACAGATGAAGAAACTGCTATTTGGAAGTTTGACATGTGTTCTAAGAGTAGAAATTGTTTATCAGGGTGTGAAATAATCCTTTAACATTTGTGTGTATTTTGGTAGTCCTTTAGTGAAGAAGATTCCTTTAAAAAGTGCTCATCAGAAGTGGAAGCTAAAAAAAAAATTGAAGAACTACTTGCTAGTCTTTTGAACAGGTGATTTGCCTTCTTGCTGAGTTATCTTGTTTGTATTCTATAGACTATACATTGAAAGGATAATTGATATTCTTTTTTATAAGCTGTAGATTAAGCTGGAGACTAAAAATTAAGAGATAAATTAACTGTGAAATTTCTATGATGTGCTAACAGGAGTAATGATATATCCATTTTTACAAGATTTTTTTTTTCTTTTTTTACTTCTGTCACTTAGAATTTAGTAACTTGGTGGCTATACCGAGGCTCTTAAAAAGACTCCCTTGATTTGCTGTTTGACAATAAGGAAGAACTTGAAATTTTTTCTGTGACAACTGCATTGTCCTACCCTCCCTGAAACTAACATATCACCGTTTGCTTTTGCTTTAGGAAAAGGGAAAGGGTTGAGTGGGGATCAGGATTCAGGGAAGTCAGATCATTGAGCCTGCTGTAATCTAGCAGGGTCTTTTTCTAAATCTCTATTGGAAAAGGTATATTTATTCTTAGGTTAAAGAGGAATTAAGAAGATGAATATACAGTGCTTTGAAGCTTATTCTTCCAGTTTATGGCTCCTCCCTACCTTTTCTTAGACTGTTTATATTTTACAATTATGATAAAAGAAGGAAATGGTTAACTTTGAGTGAATAAGGTTATATGAAAGTTTGACAGGGACTGTATAAGTATAAAAATATGAATTTATGAGTTGCTTCTGAGACCATAGGCTTGGCAAGTAAATTCAGCCTTCTGACCCATTTGCCATCAGATCCACTTCTATATATTCTCTAGAAAATTGTTCCTTTCAGACCCCAACTTCCAATTCCCTGATTGGACTTTACTCTATTAGAGGTTTTTTAGGGTGTAAACCATGGTGGTACTTTCTACTTTAGGACTGAAAGGAGAATCCAGCAACAAAAAATCCTGTAGGTAAAGGCAGAGAGGCTATGATTGTAGATTCAGTTAACAGTTGACTGTGAGTCCCAAAAGTTGAATTTCTCTAGTTTTCCCCACCACTTGGAGCAAGGCTTTCATCTGTTCAGCATAACCATGCAGTTTAGAGTGCTAGTCAGCTGAGGACAGATTAGTATGACCCAGCTCCAGCATTATGACTCAGCCTGTTCCTGGGAAGACTGCTGTGGAATTGGGTCATGCAAATCATTGTATCCAAATACAAGGTTATTCTGAACTCCCTAACTTTTATGAACAATTATGTGTGGCAGAGAAACCACAGAAATACAGTTTTCCTATTGTCTCCCACTCACAGAACTGGCCATCGGCCATTTGCACAGAACTGGGGTTGCACGTCTTGACCATGTGAAGATGCCTACCATCTACCACCCATCCACTGAAGAATTTTCTTTTTCATTCTGAACTTTGAACAAAAAATGAATACAACAAGCATTTCCACATTCATTGTGGAACAGGAGAGGATGGTACATGAAACTGCAAATCTCTTTTATGTAAAGATCAGCAAATAGTTTCAATGTATATAATTAAAGAAGCATGTTGAAAATTCAGAGGTTTCTTGTACTTCCCTTAAAAGGGGAAAATCTGGGACAGCTCGGTTACATAGTGGATAGAGCCCCGGCCATGGAGTCAGGAGGACCTGAATTCAAATCCGGCCTCAGACACACAATACTTACAAGCTGTATGACCCTGGGCAAGTCACTTAACCCCAATTGCCTCACCGAAAAAAGAAAAGAAAAGGGAATTTATCTTAGGATAAATTCCTTAAAATAATAGTAGTTTTTTTCTTCTTTGAATCCTTCTGAAATCTAATGCTTTTTAAAATGCTGAAGTATTTGGTGATGAATATTATGCCAGATTGATTGTTTACATCATGTTTTTTCAGTTCTTTGTGACTTGGATAGTTTAAAATTACTTCTGTCCTTAAACATGAAGAAGATTATTTCTTTAATTAGTTTAATCTATTAGAACATATTTAACTGTGAGATAATAATTATTGATATGTTTATAGAAAAGGATAAAAATGTTATTCTGAGTAAACAAAGTCATACTTATTAGAAAATTCAGTGGAAAAGCAATTAAAGATAAATAGGTATTTCTTACACACTTCTGAGTGTTCTATTTAAGTCTCCAGCTAAAAATGCTCAATTTGAGCAAGTTTTTAAAAGTGGATATTATTCTTGTTCATTGTGACTTGCTCATCATCTCTAGAAGACATGTCAAAGAGATTCAAATCTGTGTTTTGTAGAGTAGAAAGGAAAAAGTCATCATCAGGATTTTTTCCCTCAGGAATGAGGTATTCTAATTAAATTTTTTCCAGTTAATTGAAATATATCCCTCTGAGTGCCAAAACTTTTTTTTTGTTTGTTTTGACCATTTTTATTAGAACTCTTTCTAAAAAATACATTATACATTTACCTGCCTTCTTAAATTGAGTATAGTGAACATAGTTTAATTCTTTATTTATGAATCAGGGTCATTACTAGTATGTTCAGTTTCTACAGAAATGCCCCTAAAAGTATATAGGGCTATTTACATAGTGATTAACTGGCCCTAAAATAGTATGCTTTTTTGTATACCTGCTTTTAAAAATTTATTTGCTTCCTTCCTCATTAGGTGCTTTTTTCTCTGTTACTTGTCTTAAAGTGCATCATAGCAGCAGTGCTACTTGACTGTCTTGCTTCTGATTTGCTGTAGGCTGGCAAAGCAGATAACCAAGCTTGTTAGAATTATTTTGTAGAAATTAAGACTAAATAGATTCTGAGTGTGAGCTTGAGGGGCTGTCCTATGAGTATAAGGACTTTGTGATAATTATTTTTGTTGCTCTGTGGTCTTTTTCATTTCCTGGTTCTTGGCTGCATTGTAGACAGTCGCAGTTTCATAGTTAAGAAGCTTCCAAAGTTAAGTGAAGTGCTGCTGTGCCTTATTTGAAATTCCTAACTATCATGGTTCCTTATTTTCAGAGTATGCAAAGATGGAAGGAAGCCACATACAATAAGATTAATCATCCGTCGGTTTTCATCTGACCGATATTTTAACCGTGAGAGTCGTCAGTGTCCTATTCCATCTCATGTAATTCAGAAGTTAGGGACAGGTTTGGGCTTGTTTTATTGACTTCTTCATTTCTTTCTTTGTTGTGAATAGACTTTTCCATTTGCATTCCGTTTAATTTTGCTATATTGAGAAATTCATTACTACAAGGTGTCACTGGAATTTTTAACAAATTAAATATTTAACAATTAAACAATTAAATATTAAATTTTAACAATTAAATATTAAAAATTTTTAACAATTAAATAGTAGAACTATGTTAGTAGTACAGCCTGTTGCTGTGCCCTTGTAGTCTCACAACTGAACCCCAGAGACCCATATAAACCACCTTTTCTTTAAATTATAATTAAGAAATATCCTTAAAGATGTATTTTTTTTAAACAAAATAATAAAAAAGAGTAAAAATTTTTTAAAAATTAAGGGCTTTTTCCATCCTTTTTTCTTATAGGCTCCTTTAGCAGTAACAATTTTTTTGACTCATTGCTTGGTCATTTCAGGACTCCAGAAGCTGACCCCAAAATATCAAATGTTTTTGTAGTAGTAGATTGTAGAAGAGAATTTTGGACAGGGATCAAGGGGAACCTTGTCATAGATGGTGTCCAGGTCTAACGTATGCCAGGGAATAGGAAGACTGTTTTCAAATGTGGAGAACTTGTAGGATAACTAAAGAGCTTTAAACACTTACATTTTAGGAGTCTCTAGAATAAGCCAAATGTTAGAGGAAATACTCTGTGATGCAAAGAGCACTGGACTTGCATTCAGGAGATCTGCGTTCTAATTCTGCAGTGAGTAGGCTTCATGACCCTAGGCTCGTAACTTCACCAATCAAAGTATTAGTTTCCTTACCTGAAAAACAAGTGCTTTGAAGTTTATTCTTCTAGTTTATAGCTCCTCCCTACCTTTTCTTAGACTGTTAATATTGTAAGATTATGATAAAAGAAGGAAATGGTTAACTTTGAGTGAAGCCTTTTTACCTTCCAGGTGTCTTAGAAGGACTTAATGATAAGCCTTATTCATTAGGTTTCCTATTGTCATCTTTAGGTATGGGCTAGTTTTGCTGCCTAGATGATCAGTATAAAGATAGCAATGGTATCAGTGGGGAATTAAAGCATCGTAAACAATTGTTACAGGAATGAGGGGACTGCCACTCTTCCCCATCAATAATGATGATAATAACGGATACTGATATAACATTTTTATCATTTTGCAGAATTCTTTGATATATGGATTATTTCTTTGGACTCTCACAAGAACCCTGTGAGTCAGATACCACAGGGGTTGTTATCATTGTCTTATGGGGAAGGAACCTGAGGTTCAGAAAGTCTAAGTGACTAAATCGGAAAGTGGGGGTTGTGCCACCAGCCCATTTTTCCCTAGAAAATGTCAAGCTAATTATTTTCTCTTTTTTCAGATAGTGAAACTTAAATACGAGGCAGGTAAAAAGGCTTTCCCAATTCAGAGGGGTCAGAATTGCTTATTCTTTGGCACTGCATCACTTCTAATTTCTTTTATAGTCATAACTTTAGCTTGTTATAAAAAAATTTTTAAATCCTTTTTTTTTTTCTTTTATTAAACCTGCTGAACCTCTTGGCAATTTTAGGATTAAATACTACTTGTAATCATTTGGCTTTCCATGTTATTGTAAGATACCTCAATTATATGTATCCTAGGTTTTATTTTCTTGATTTTATCAGTGCTTTAAATCTATCTTATTCATAATTAAGCTCTTGATTCTAATAATTCATGTAAATGCATTTATTTTTCTTACCTCTTTTAAATAATTCATTTAGGAAATTATGATGTTATGACCCCAATGGTTGATATACTTATGAAACTATTTCGAAATATGGTAAATGTGAAGATGCCATTTCATCTTACCCTTCTAAGTGTGTGCTTCTCCAATCTTAAATCACTACCTACCTCTAAGAAAGGATCTATCGAATTTTATTTAACACCATCATCATCAACAACTTCACACTCTGGCAAGCGCACTTATGTAAGTGCAGGGTTTGGGCAAATAACTAGGTTGTTTAGATTGTGTGTTTAAGGTCATGAGAGTCCAGCTCTGGTACTGTGTGCTGCTTTCTCTGGATTAGGTTTTTATTCATTTATATTCCCAGTTGTTACTGTTTTATTAGAGTCTTTTGTTCATCTGATTTTGACATTAAATGTTCATCGAATCTAGAAACTTACGCCATTGATTAAAACAGCTGAATGATTTCTTTTGTTGATCATATACGTTGTGTAACATAAATGGTAGAGAAACTTGGAATTTTGGAAGTAGAAATAAGTTTTCAGATTGTACTGGGTATTATGAAACAGGCTTAAAAAATCAAGACCTTTTAATTTTCATTTCCATAGAAGAAGGCAAATGAATTTTCATTAAAATGCTTCAATTACTTATCCTGACATTTTATTGAGCTATAACAGCAGCATTTATATACATTATATAGATGGGCTATTGAGTGACACTCATGTCAGAGGTAAATAGTAAAAGCTGGCAAAAGTCAGTGATATTTTCAGATGATTAAAAAATACAACAATAATTTGTTGGCCCTTAGCTATGATAACCAAAAATGGAATGATTAACAAAAACACTATTTTAAACTATATGATTCACATCTAGAATAAGGCTGTCAATTTACTTCTTAATTTGCAGCAATTAATTTTTTATTGTAAATGTTACTGAAACTGTTTTAAAATATTAATTTGTAATTTTAAAATGAAAACAAACATCTAATTAGAATGTTAAAGTCTGTTTTATCAAATAATATTTATTAATGTGATGAGCTTATGCCAGTTATAAATTTAAGTAGGCACTTAATTTAAAAAATATTAGTGATATAAGTAATATCTAGTTGCTTATGTGCTAGAGACAATAAATAAGAAAAATTCAGTGAGATTATATAGATAACTTTTAAGACAAGATTAAAAAAATATCTTAGCCAAAGTTCCATAGAATATAAATTTTTAAAATTATCTTTATATATTGATAATAGTGTTTTATAAATATCATAGTAATGATTTTTCTTCTCTGGTGTTTCTGTTATTCTTCAGAGTAGTAATTTTCTCAAATAATTGTCCTTATTGCACTGTGCAGGAATTTATCTTTAAAGTAACTTTGGACAAATAACTTAATTTCCCTGGGTCTCAGTTTCATCATCTATAAAATGAAGGGGTTAGACTTATATACTATCTCTAAGGCTCCTTCTAGCCCTAAAATTTTGGTTTTAGCCAGTTTAGTTTGTAACATTAGCAATTCACCTACCTGGGAGGATAGGTCATGAATCATAGGGTTAGTGATATGAGAACCACATGACAGAACTAGATTGCTATGGTTTAATCATACTTACTTGAAACTAATCACAGGAAGTTTTGAAGCCTATTGGGGGAAAAGTGCATGCTCCTAGATTTATATCTAGAGTAATGTATTAATTCATGTCTTAACATGGACAGACACATCCTAGCATGAACATGGATGTGTCATGGGCAGTTTATCTATGAGATCATATATTTATATTTTAAATTTTTTTGTGTTCTAGAAAATGAAAGATACTCATATGGAAGAATTTTCACAAGACAAGGAAATAAACTGGGATTTTCTACCAAGTGGAAGAATTGAAAGCATAAAAACTGGAGAGTCTCCAGTAGATACTTCAAATTTTACTAAAGAAAAAGAAATTCATGATTTTCCATTTCACTCACTTCCTGAGGGTATTGACCATGAAGTCTTTAAGCAGCTTCCAGTAGATATTCAAGAAGAAATCCTTTCTGGCAAAACTAGAGAAAAAATTCAAGGAAAGGGAAGTTTGAGTTGTCCATTACATGCCTCTAAAGGAGTGTTATCTTTCTTTTCTTCAAAACAAATGCATGACATCATTTCAAATCCCAGAGATCATTTATCCAATAGCAAACAGTTAGCCTCTATATCTACCAGTGAACCAGGTACATCAGGTTTAAGTAGCACTGGTTCCACTTACCTGTTTAGCCGAAAGGATTCTCCTCACTATTTAGACAGTGAGCTGAGAGATGAAAGAATGAGTCAAGGACCTAAAGAATCCCAAGGATTCCATTTTTCAAATACAAACCCTGCTGTGTCTATATTCCATTCTTTCCCAAACTTACAAAGTCAGCAGCTCTTTTCCAGAAGTCACACTGCAGATAGCCATAAGCAGCTTACAGGCTCAGTTTCTCAGCATCTCAGTCTTACAGAAAACAAAGAACAAGAATCTTCAGAGGAGGAAATTACTTTTCCTTCTGGCATTGACCCTGCAGTTTTTTTTGAATTACCAGAAGATGTTCAAAAAGAACTTTTGGCTGAGTGGAAAAGAACAGGATCCTCTTTCCAAACTGTACATGAATAAGCATGATGGAAAAAAAATCTAAAAATATATGCTAAGCAAATAGCAACAACATTATGTTCCCCTCAGTCTAACAGCTTATTAAGGTGTTTGATATTAAACCGTTTATTAGGTATTCAGTAATGTAGAAATCTGACTAATATGAAACATTCCAGTAAAGCACAAACAGCAGAAGGGAGGTAAACTCTTACATAAAGCATAGAAGTGTTCATATCAGAATAATGTAAAGTATTATCTTCCTCTCATTTTTAAGCTATTTTATATTGAAGATTTTCAATAAAAAGAATATCATGGTCAGCATTAGTACATATTCCATAAATTTGGGAAATGTATGCATGCATATGTAAATTTTAAATTTCCACATAATGCTGAACTGTAGGAAGTTAAAGAATAGCAATAAATGTTTCCTTTTTGAAATTTGAAGCAGCCCAAGAACCTCAGCTCACTGAGAGATATGAAAATATGGAAAACTTTAGTTTCAGCCAACTTATAAAAACATTGACTTTGCCTCGGGTAACTAACATACATTCCGTAATATAAGCTGACAACAAAATATTCAGGTTTAATGGATGGTTCCAGTCACTGTGTGTTCAAATAGTTCAACTAGCTTTTATTGGCTGGGGTGGGAGGGGCAGGTGGGTGCAAGAAGGTGAAGACTCCATAGGGAAAAATTAAGGGTATACTGGCATTAGGACTTCAGTGTACAAGGTGGGGTTGTCCTAAGAACTCTTATTTTGACCCAGATGGTAAGTAAGGGAGAATTTTAGCTTGCCATTTTTTATACAGGACTGTGGGGAGTAGATATGATATTTCTACAGCTTTTGCTGCATATTTGAAGCTGGAACTCCTTGCCATCAAATATGAGAAAAATATTATTTTCATCTCAGTTATTAATCATCTCCAACTTCCCCTTCCAGGTCAAAAATTGGCAGAGTAATGATACCCCATGCTTGTGACATAAGTGTATCTTTGTAACTTGTCAAAGTACCCTGGAACACTGGTTAGGAAACTGATATTTAAGGATATGGTGGAGGTATCTCCATTGACAAGCATGGCCCATCTTAAGAAATTTTTGGTCTATATAGAAATAATCTATAGGAAAAAACTTGAGATTGTTTACAAGGCAATATGCATGCAAGTGAGTATAAGATTCTAATATCTTTCTTTGTGTTTGGACTCCCTTAGATTTTAAGTAGTCAGTGGTTACTGAAGGCCTTTTCCCTTTATAACCCAAAGAAAAATTATAGCACAAGTATTTTGAAGGCAGCTAAAATGAAATTTCTAGCAGGAATGATAAAGGCTCAACATCTTGTAACTATTTGGAGCTCTGCTATAGATGTCCTTTATTTAAAACATTTTTTAAATTCTCCAAATGTTATAAGTTCTCTACAGTTAAACTCATCAGAGAGGCTCATAGAGGACATAACTTCTATCAGATAATTTCCTTTTTGATATTCAAGTGATCTATCACCTTGGATGATTTCAGGGTTTAACAACATAGTTAAGCTATCTAAAGTATATTGACCTAAACTCTTAGTTGTGGCACAATTGATAAACGTAGCATATGAGATGTACTTGACCAATCATTATCAACTGTCAGTCAATCATATGTCCTGGTGAGTAGAATTAGCTTACAGATGGCTTTGGAATAGGTATAAAAGAGTAAGAGACATAAATAGGCCATGACTAAGTTTAAGAAACAAATCTTTTTTAGGAATGCATACGACTTTCCAGTATGGTTTTGAAAAACCTTAAAAGGAAGAGGATAAGACCCTTTTCTCTCAAAATTGTTATGATTTTTCAGGCTGAGAAGTTTCTGTCTTGTTCCGACCAGTCACGTTACTCAACTGTCCTTTTTCGAGGCCACTTTTCAAAATGAACTTGTTTCAATGCAGTGCAATAATTTTTTAAGTCCTTTTATATAAATGGCACTGAAGATACAAAGATTAAAAAACGATGATGTTGTTGGCCTCAGGGAGCTTGTGTTCTCTGTGGTTAATACCCTTTTTCCAAATTATTCTCGAAAAGACCACAACTGGTTAAGGAGGTGATGTGGTAGTTTGGAAAGAACATTGAATTTTGTGTCCAGATATATGGGTTTGAATACTGTGTCTACTGCATACATACCACTGAGTAATTTCATACCAATCACAGCCTTTCTAGGCTATAATTTTCTTATCTATGAAATGGGAAATTTGGATTAGATGATTTTTAAGGTTCATTTCAGATCTAAATCCCGTGAATGTTTTGTGTCCAGGAAAGACAATGATATCTCTCTTAAAAAAAAATTATAAAGTCCTTTTTTCACAAACTGTAGTATAGCTATTACAAATTATCTTTATTTTGCAAATTGTAAAACTGAGGCATAGAGAAGTAAAGTCACTCACCTAGAGTCCCACAGCTAGTGAGTGCTGGAGCTAAGATTCAAACGGAAGTATTCTGTTTGTTAAGATCAGTAGTTTTTCCACTGTACCACATTTCATCAATGACCTCAATGGTTTTGTAATTCATTAATGTCATAGATGCTAAGGTAGGAACAGTGGCAAGGTCAGGAGATACAAGTATGGTGATATGTTGTAGTAAGACATTTTAGCTTATAAAGTAAACTCAGTAATGCAAACTGTTTTATCTCTTGTTTTTTACAGAACATGGAGGTAGAAGCATTGGTTCAGATGGTATTCTTGTATATGTACACAGGCATTGAATTTCATTTTTAGAATCATGGCAGTAGCCATGGTTAGGAAATACATGATTGGGTACACTTTCCTTTTGAAAAGCGTTTCTTAATTTTAGTGGAGTGCAAGGAGGAGCCCAGATATATCAATTACATAGAACAAAAAGTAAAATCCTAGGGAGAACAGTAGTCCACATCATGTTTTATCTGTCTAGTTTGGGTCCTGTGGCATTTGCAATGGACTTAACATCTATTTCCAATTGCTGAAGAAGTTTAAAATTGAACAGAATTAGCTAGCCAGATCCTTAGATGAGAATGAATGATGTTTCATGGCCTTCATCTTGGAATAATTTTACCATATTTACTGTGATGTGGGAAAGGTAATAGAAATCAAATTCTATTTTTCTATTCCAAAAAAAAAAATCTGGAAGTTTTTTTGTTACAAATTTATAGGTAATATTATATATCAAGATAAACTGAGCAAGCTAAAAAAAATTCTTCACAAAAATGTATCAGTCTACCGTCGTCATTCTCTTTATCACCCTCTATCCCATCCTGGAGAAATATATATAATAGGAATATATTAAATTAACTTTATTTTCTGTTTGCCTATTCTATCACTATTCATATAGAATATATATTATAAGGAAAATTTGTCATGTGAATGGATGCTCTTTGCCTATTGGAAAATGCATTGAAAAAGAAGGGAATCTTACCAGGTTTTCTTTTTTTCTGTTTCAACAAATATGTACCAAAAATAGGAACTCATTTTTTTTTTGGTAAATCTCAAAATGTTATTTTACTTAATACTTATCTATTTACTTATTATCTATATTTTCTTATTTCCTAGTTTTTTATTACTAACAATAGCCATAACATTATCTCCTGATTTTTTTCATCCCTACCTTAAGCTCCCTTGGCAATGTCTATTAATAATGAGAGATTAGAAGAATATCTTTTGATCTATAAATTAAGCTGATTTTAATAGCCACATCCCATTAATTTAGCAAGACCATAATGCCTTTGCTACATATTAAATTGTCTGAATTAACAGAAATGTATATATTAAATTTTTACTGATAGAATATATCATGTAATTCTGATGATCGATAATCTGTTACTTATTTTCTTGATTCTCTGAATAGCACTTGTTGGAACTTTGACAAAAGTTCAAAAATATGTAATGGGCTAAAAACATCTATAGAAATCTACAAAGTTATTTTGTATTCCAGTTGACATGATTACTGAAATTCTTTTTAAGACTAAACATTTAATCAGTTTAAAAATATGTTTATCAAACTAAAGCTTTCATTTTTTTATCAAAGAAAAGTAAGGGGTTTTAAGTTCTTATGATTAGAATTCTACAAACAAGCTTCTATTTGGAGTTGACACAGTCAAAATAAACAATACTACTTTGTTTAAGAAAATGTTACCAGAATCATTCCATAGTCATATTAATGAAAGAGAAGGAAAAGTGAGAAAAAATATAAATAGATGGAGTAATTTATTGGAGGCAGCTAGATGCCTCAGTTGATAGAGAGCTGGGCCTGGAGTCAAGAAGACCTGAGTTCAAATGTGGCCTTACACACTCACTAGCTGTGTGACCCCAGGCAAGTCACTTAACCTCTGTTTGCCTTAATCCACTGGAGAAGAAAACGGCAAACTACTCCAGGATCTTTGCCAAGAAAAACCCCATGGACCCTATAGTCCACAGATTTACAAAGAGACGGACTAAACAAAAACGAAGTCAACAGTCTTGAGATTCCAGTTACAGGCTTAATCAGGTCAGAGTCCTCCACTGTGTAGCAGACTAGTATTCTCTAATTATTAGTGACAGTGAGAGCCAGTTTGTCATGAGTAATAGTGAATAAGAATGTAAGAAAATTTTTTGGTATGGGAATTAAAGTAAGGCAGACTGGTATACAGTTCTCAGAATATCAGAAAAAATATATAGTATAATCAATGAAAATGATGAAAGATGATAATGAAATTTAGAATTGTAGCTGGTCATAGTAAATACAAAATCATCTCTGTGTTATTTGGATATTACTACCCATCTTTTCAAAATTATGATACACAGCTTTCTTATACTTAATCAGTATATATCCTAGCTATCCAGGAATGCTTTAAACTTCCTTTAGAAATTTTAAATACTATATAAGAAAGAAAGCATGGAAGGTCAGGGAGTAAGAATTAAAAGATACTCTACTCTTTTCTTCTGTCTTTAGCTACATGTATCCCATAGAAGACAAGTCACTTAATTTACAATATTCACTTGCAGTATGGGCAAAATGGAAATATGTTTCTACTTCTATATCACATGAGAGAATTACAAGGATCTGCAAAATTACTGTGTTTCTTAGAACAGGTCCTAGTAAAAGTTGGCATGATAACAAAACATGATGCATTCTAAACCATAGCTTTAACTACTTTGTTATTAATAAGTATCTTCTGAATATTCTAACTAGAGAAAACAGAGCAGCCAGCACTGAGGGAGTTGGAGTTGATAGATTCTGTCTGTAGTTGACCTGTTCTCTTAGGTCATAGTGGCTTCAAAAGTGATATTTTTCTCCTTAGGAATCCTTCCTTCTCTACTTTTCCTCTTGCAAAGACATAGAGGAATATGTCTTCTGGAAAATCGGGAGACTACCAGAGTAGCTGGAAGTGGCTTTCCTTTAGGGAGCTGTGCTTTTATCCTGACTCTTTGGCCTTTACACACATATAATCTGATTATCTTTTTTGAAGGAAAAACTCAGTAACTGTTAAGGCCAAAGTGTGAAAATGGTATACAGTTTTTCAAAGGGTAGGTAGAATACTGATGTAAGATTTTTTCAATAGGAATAGTGTTCTTGGAGATTTTATCTCCTTAGAAATCATAGTGATTTATAAGGATCAGGAATCCTGACTAGCTAAATTGCTAGTGCAGAAAAGCATCTTCGAATTGTTTGCAACATACAAACTACTTTGTTTAAATTGTTTAAATAGCAACGGTATGCAATGTGTGATAGTCTTGCAGTTTTGTGACTTGTCAATCCAGTTTTAAATTCTACATTTTATTTGGTGTATATTTAAGTGGAATTGTTTATTTATGCTCATATTACACAAGTTTATCAAGTTTGAACAGTCAATGAAGTAAATGAAAAAAGTATTCTCTTAGCTTTAGTTTATGTTGAGTGCTCACTGTTGCACCTGTTTGCTCGATTCTAATTTTATTCAGTGGCATTTCTCAGAAGAAAGCAAGGTACAAATGGTGCTCTTAGTAACACTTGATAGTTAACATCATTGTTAATGAGATAAAAGCTATATTTAATGTTCCTTATGTAACTGAGTTCTTAGTTTCCTTAAGAACCTCTGCTGATGTGTATGAGAATACTGACTAGCATAGCATAATGGCATGTATACATTCCACATTGACTGCTAGAAGAGGACTGAAGAAAGTACATGATTCAGGAGCCATGGAACCACCTCATTTCTTATGAAGTAGTGATGATGAATGGCCTTTTGGGGATGAATGTGCTGAGTGGGCCTTTTGTGCCTTTATTCCATCTTTTGCATCATGAATCAAATTCAGTAAGTTGGTAGGCATTGTTGCCTCAACCACAGCTCGGGATAAATTTCCTCTCAGTTCTGGTTGTACATACATCACCAGTTTGGAGTAGCCAGGGTTCCTATAAAGAAGAGAAGAAAAACAATAAAAGAATTCTTGGATTTACCTAATCTGTTTATTCTAAACATGCTTAAATATATAGTCAAAATAAATTATTGCTATAATGATATGTAATTCAGTAATATTTGTCAAATGTGGTAGCATTTAGGCATTTTAAAAGTTTGGTGATATTTTAATATGTACAAGTTATGAAATAGGGAGAAGATATCTAATATCTATAGTTCTAGGAGATTTTCTGACATTATGGAGCTCCAGAATGACTATATTAGAGGAATGTTAGAAACAGACAAGGTATCATTTCTTAATTGCTAGAGCAAAGAATGTTTCTTAGAATTCTAGAGCTTCAGGTTCTTACCTAAAAAAGCTTCACGTTCCTTGCTTAAAAGTACAATTAACTAGTGATTATTTGAATTGTGTATATATAACTTCGAAACTGACCCATCTGTGGTGCTAGGTGTTTAGTCTATAGCCCTTATTTCTTATGTGGAAATGGTTTGAGGGACACAGAATTTAGAGAACTAACTTTTTTTAAAAGCATCTCTGCTCCTTTCCTATAGAATTTCTTGTTCTCTAGATGTATCCACAGGAAGATCCTAATTTATAATAAAATAATAATATAAAATAATAAAATTATTAAATTATTTTCAATCCTGTCTACTTAAACCAGGGAGGCTTCTCTCCTCTTTGCAGTAACAATGAGGACTTATTTGGGGAAAGAAATGTTTAGGGTACATAAAATGAGAGTGCACAACTTTCTAATAAGGGCCTACCTTCTCCACCTCTACCCCAAGTCTATATTGCATAGCAGAGTCTGGGCCATTTTCCCTGCCATAGAAAGCTAAGTTGTTAATTCACAAATGTTTGTTCATATAATCAGGAAGACATATCCATTGGGCAGGAAGTTAATAGCTGCTAGGAATAGCCATAATGAGCCCCAACCTGAGATTGCCCTTGGTAGCTAGGTCACATAAGATAGCCTTTTTTTCCATGCACAAGGCAATGCTGCAAGCAGTGTAGGTTTTGGGCACAGAGAAAGCTACCAAAGGGCTGATTGAGGTTGGCTCTATGTAACCAGGTCAGCAACTATTGACAGTGACTTTATTCTTATTCTTTCTGGATATACCAGAATAAGAGGTCCGAGATATCTGACAATATTGCTTATCTAAACCAATGATCCTTTCAATTGGTGTAGGTAATCAACAGAGCTAAATTACAGTGGAAAACACATGGAGAAATGTGGTTTTCTAATTCAACTTTATTTTGCCTCCCTAAGTTGTCAATGTAAGGTATTACCATAAATCCTTCATTGTAAGCAAACCTATTGGAATTCCTTTTTCAAATTTTACAGTATTTTAAGACTTTTTTGTCTGCAGAAAAATGACATAAGATTCTGGACACTATAAAGTTGATTGTGAATAAATATAAGAGATTCATATATAATGAGCAGATTTTTTTTTCATGTGCAGGTATCTCACTTGACAGAAATTAACTTTCTAGCATCCTCAGCTTAAGTAAATGATGAATTGTATCAAATTTGATCTAAATCTAATTCACAGTATTCTGTGAAGCAGATTATATTGCCACTGTTTCTAGTATTGTACATAACTCTTAAGTGTTTTTCCTGTAACTAATTTGAGAACAGTGTAGTACTAGTAGTGGTTTCTAAGTACTATAATTATTTTTAATTTCTTAATTGAAGTTTTTCTGTTAAATATATTTTTTTAAGAATTGCTGTATTTCTGTGATATTATTATATCCAGGCAGGTTTGTGTAAGCTTGGATAAAACTGAAACAGGTAAAAATTTGACCCTTTTCTTGGCATTCAGTTTCTTCGTGCCATCCTCCTGCATCCTAGGTCACTATCATACCCTACTCAGGCCTACTTTACCTGAGGATTGCTTTGATCCAGGGTCTGGCCCTCTCCCATTTCTCCTATCAAGCTCATCCATTATATGCTTGCTTCTGCAGGGAGTTGCCCCCAGTTAGCTGTTAGATGGAAGTGATTTGATAAATTCATTAATGGTAAGGTGTTAATTCTTAAGACTTAATGCATTAGCTATCCAAGGCTATTTGCATTCTTTTCAAAAAACAGGAACAATTATTTAATGATACAAAGGAATGAATCTCTAATAGAGAAATGTGTAACATTAGTTACAGGCTGGTAGGGTAATATCTTTGTGAATAGAGAACTTCGTAAGTAATTTTCTGGTCTACTTATGCTTAAGAATGATTTTGAACCTAGGAACCAAATTTTTTTCCAGCAAAATGCATCTCCAATTTTATAATAGAAGTCAATGGGTAAGATAGGATTTACTTAGCAGAATTTCATGGCAGATCTCAATAGAATGCATTTTTTTCTATTTAACAAGGAGTATCTGTACTTTGTATTTTGTATTTTATATTTTATAAATTAAACAACAGTTTTGTTTTTTAAAATGTGCATGTTAATTACTTACTCTGGCAGTGGTGAACATACGTAGCCACAAGGATTGTTATAACCACGGATATAACTTGAAGTTGGAGGACATTGTGGATATTCCACACTAACAGCTAAGTAGTTTAAAAAAGAAAGGTATTTTAATGAAACCTTTTCCACAAACATGGCAAATACATAATAGAGCAATATATTCTCTAAAGAAAATACTTATGAAACAGCATTCAGTTTTACTTAATCTTTGTCAGCATTCATCTTTAGGGATATACATAGGTATTTATACTCTGGTCTCTCAGACTAGCTTTAATTTGACATTTCTAATGATTGTTTTTGTATCCTTAGGGGTAAAATTAAAAACTTTAAATGTCATTAAGAATCTGAGTTTATCTTATGTAAGATTCTTGAGGGCAGCAAGTGGTTTTTCATTTTGTATCCCTAGGAACAAAGATCAGTTGGTTGACCTAATATCTAAAGATTTTTTAGGTAATTCTTAGACAAACTAGTGAAGTTATATGAGGAAGAATCAATGAATTTGATTAGTGCTGAACTCTTGATAATTCTGTCCAAAAATTATTTTCACATCATAAACTAAACTCCATGGGTGCAAGAATGGTCTTATTTAAACTTTGCAAATCTTCAGAGGACTAAAATTGTGATCTGCACAGACTTAGTAAATGTTTGCTGAATGAATGATTGCAGGTGTTTATTTTGTGTTGCTTTGGGTCTACTACTATTATCAGAGTAAAGATATGTCCTGTGTCCTAGATGGCCCATCAATAACTCAGAATTTCAGTCAAAATGTGTCTATTCATTTGAAAAAAATTAGTCAACAAAAGATAGAACAAAGGTCAATAGGAGACACAGACAAGCAGAACAACTCTGAAAATAAAATGTTAAATTATGTATTTAAAAAGAAGAGATGCTTGTAATACAGATCTATAGTCCCATGTACAAGCCGTTTTTTCCTAGTCTAATGTGTATGTGGAAATGTTCACCCAATTTGGTGTTGGTCAGGTTCAGAATTTAAAAAAAAAAAGTCTAGACACTTACTAGCTGTGTGACCCAGGGCAAGTCATTTAATTTCTGGGCCTCAGTGTCCTCATTTGTAAGTGGGATAGGATGGGTTCCTCTATAGTCCCTTCTAGCTCTCAATCTCTGCTGCTGATCTCTGATTTTATCCTTTTCCTTGGCTTATCTTGAAAGAAAAGGTTTTATGTGATATATTCCATAAAGGAAAGGTTACCTATGATTACTCAATAAAAATAGAGAAGGAAAAAAAAAGTTTGGTATTATCTTAAGCTCCAGGCTAATTGACTACTCCTAGGTAGTTGAAGTGATTGTAATGGGAATGGAAAAGCATTTATTATACCCTTATTGTGTGCTAAACACTTTGCTAAGCACTAAATGCTGAGGATAAAAAAGACAGCCCCTGCTGTTAAGCATCAGTTTCCTTCCCCCATTCCACTTCATATCACAGTTATAGCAAAAAAACACATTGACATCTTTCTAGACGTAGGCTGAAAGATAAAGGACATCTCTTCCAACAGACATGTTGAAAAGCTGAAAAGAGAGCACTTGGGTAAGTTACTACTTCTTTCTGAGCTCTAGTTTCCCATAGGTAAAATTGAAAAGCAATACCAATGACTCCCACCTCACAGGGTAATTGTGAAAATCAAATGAGATAAAAACATAAAATCCTATAGAAATACAAGGTATTATACAATAAGTTTTCTAGATGTTAGTGTTTACTTAGTTTTTTTTAGGCTGAAGTTTGAATTTTAATAGAAATTGTTACCAGAGCTTAAATATCAGAGAGTAAAGCCTGTTTACATCTTCCGATTAACAGACAGTTAACTTAAGAACAGACCACTACAGTAGGAATGTTTAAAAAACAAACCAGCATATAAAAATGAGGAATCATAAAACACTAAAGGGCAACTGTTCTGATTATGGAAGACTGTGCTTTCCCAAAGGACTGATTGCAGGCTGACTTAAAATACTAATTTCCCCTAATAAATTTGAAATAGGATATGAATGGCAAAAATGTGATTTACACTCAAAATTTCAAGTTGTATCTATTGTATCAAGCATCAAGTGAGATGCCTCTATGTTTAAGTGAAGCACATAGGCTGTGTGGTGTTTTGGTGCATGTGGCAAGTAGTAGTAGGAATCAATCACTGGCCAAGTTTTGTAAATACAATTGGTCAGTTATATACTGTGCCCCTCTTCCTTAACCTGCTTAAGGCCTCTCCATTCCCTCTCTCTCCTTACACTGGAGAGCAGTTTAACCCCTGCCTGTATGTGGCTATCATTTGGATCTATTTGTACTAAAAAGACAAATGTGTGACCATACAACGTGATGAGCCAAGTCGACCAGATGACCTGGGTCTTGTCTCTGCCACTTAAAGAGCATGGTTGAGAAACTTCACCTCTTAGCTTTAGTTTCCTTATCTGTAAAGTGGAGATACGCTACTCAATTCACAAGATTGTTGTGAGGAAAACATTTTGAAAACCTTAAAATACTATGTCAATATGAAGTAGTATTAGTATTGAATGATGAGGGAACTTTGAACAATTATTGAGGGGGGGAAATTAAGAAATTTAATATCATGTACAACACATATACATACTAACAGGGGTGGGGAACCTGCAGCTTCGAAGCTACTTGTAGCCCCCTAGGTCCTCAAGTGCAACCCTTTGCTTAAATCCAAAAAGGATTTGTTCTGTGAAGTTTGGATTCAGTCAAAGGGCTGCACTTGAGGACTAGAGGGCCACATGTAGCCTCAAGGCCACAGGTTCCCCACCCCAGTATAAAAATACTTCTTAATTACAGTGGAACCAGGAGCTTATAAAATAACCATTCCGTGGAGGTGATCTGAGTTCTAATGTTGGAAGACATGAGTATAAAACAGAAGGATCCATGTCTATTGGCCCTGGAGCATGTTTGTAGTTCAGCTTAGTGAATGGGAGGGAGAGGAGGAAGGAAAACATAGGAGCCAGCCAAACTCCCTCCAGAGTGGTGAGCCAGGGTCATAACCAGGGAAAAGCCATTTACCGGAAGGGAGATCATGAAAGTCTAATCTAAGGGAATCTAGGGATAAGCAGAAGAAATTTCTCGAACAGCAGACCTAGCTGTGACAATGTTACTAAGGGCATTTGCAGTGAGCTTTCCAAAAATGGCAACCCAAAGGGGAGATAAACTTGAGGGAGGCTATCTCTTCTGGAATATTGAGTTTGGAAAGCAACTAGTTTGACAGGATTGTCAAGTGTACAAAGAGGAAGTTATGTGAAGACTGGAAAGGTAGGTTGGAGCTACATAGTGAGGGTCCTTAAATGTTTGGCCAATGAGTTTGTGGTTCATCCTAGAGACAACTGGGGAATTGCTGAAGTTTTATGAGCAAAGGAGTGATAGAGTCAGATCCGTACTTTAGGAAGATTTTTGACAACTGTATAAAGGATGCATTGAAGAGGGAAGTAAGTGGGTGAAGGGAGACCAATGAGGCTATTTCAATAGTTTATTTATTGATGCCATTAGGAAAATAAAAGCCAAAAGCAAATGTTTGAGAACATAATAATTCTTGGTAGGATCAAATAAAAAGAAAACCCAATAAATGACAATCTATACCAAAATATGACCAAAATGTTTCAACTTACAACTGACAATCACTTTATCCCCTTCATAGTACTTGATGTGTACTAAGTCAACAAAGTCTCTGGGGGCAATTGAGCCCATGGCAAAACTATTTGTAATGGTGTGCAATATAAACGTGTCCTGTAACAAAAATAGATAAAAATTGTAGCTGTTATTGTAAAAATCAGATTTTTTTGTGTGTTCCCAAAATAACTTTATTCTCCAAAGTTAGTTTTTCTTTGAAAGAAAAATATGGCCTGTAAATTGCATAGGAAATTGCCAAATCATATACAGCACTTGTCAAAGGGACTTTATTAGACCTACAGTTACAAATATACAGAACCTTATTCTCTTCCTGCACACAGGAAGACTTCTTGGGGCTCGACTCCCCAATAAAAAAATCTCCTTTTTTCTTCTATTCTCCACTTCAGTCATGTAGACTACTTTCTTCCCTGTCATCTAGTAGCCTAAACATAGGAGGTTTTGTCATATGTCCCTAAAAGACATAAGTCTCCAGGGAGAGAGATTAATGATTTGCATGGGTCCAGAAGCAACCACTGGCTTCAGCTCTGATATATTCTGGTTTGGTAGAGAAAATAGACACTAGTATGGAAGTAGAATCCCCCATGTAAAATTTGTTCAAAGTGTCACCACAAGGTTTTTATTTCTTTAGGAAAGCTAAGAGTTGGACCAACAAAGTTATCCTTTTTACTCCATATACTGAAAGGAAAATTCTGCTTTAGATCCTACCTCATACCTACAAAGGAGTAACTAATAGAAAAATTAGTAGCAAAAAGGCAATATATGTCATTCCAAACTGAAGGACAGTTACAACTTTCTTTTAACCTCTTGTCCTTCTTTCCTCTTTTATGCCCCAAATATGTAGTTAAAATTCATTTTAAGAAAGTAAATTTAAGTTCAGTATTTTAAAGACTAAAGTTCATTAATGTAGAGATTAAATTGATAGTGGGACTCCTTAAAGTGCTCATGAGTACTGTGAACAAGAGAACCATAAATACAATTTTGTGCTGTTTTTCAAATGGAGGAGAGGGGGATCTTCCTTAAATTTGGTATTGGGATCCTCAAGAACTAGAGAAGTCCTAAGGGTCTAGGGAAATTAGGATATTATGTTAGTGGTGGTAAGGAATTATAAGGTATATAAGCAGGTTGACCTTTATCATCATGTCTCTCTTCTTCCAGTTATATAACTCTAAAGTAGTTGCATTATAGTGGCAATCATGGCAAAATGAAATTTTCTGAGGTGGGAGAAATGTAGGGTATAGTGGGTCAAGGGATTGAAAAAAATTGTTATGGAAACTGTTTGCAAATAGTGTGAACAATTTGCTAGGCTTCCAAAAATTCTGTTTGACACCACCCACATTTAACAGTGTTGTTCCTGTTTCCTATGGCTATATCACAGGATTAAAAGACCATAGGTCTTTTAGGAATTTACTATCAAGATTCTCCCAGAAACACAAATTTTTACCATAACACTACCATCCGCAACATAAACATACAAAACACGCAAAAAGGTAAGTGAAGCAAAATAATTTTAGAGGAGTAAGCCCAGCTTGCTTTCCTCTTAATACCACAGGCACTAGGGCTTACTTCTACAGCTGCCTTAAAGAGCAGTTAAAGGTATATAGAATCTTCCTCCAAAGTTCAGTGTTCCTTTTCCCATCCCTGTGATCATACACTACTTTGCCTGACTTTGTTATTGTCCTCCTATTCCCTCCACTTCCCCCTTTCCTGATACATGTGCAACAGATAACTGCTATTTTCTCTTGCTACCATTTTTTACTTCTTGCTATTTTTCTCCTTAACTCTGTCCTGCTTTCTACTCAAACTTTTCCTTCTCTCTTTTTCTTCCTGTCTCTCCCTCTTCTATTCCTTCTTCAGATTTCACTTTCCTTTTTTCACCACCCATAATAAATGTGCTTGAGTACTCACTGCCATCTGGCAATGCCATTTTACATGTACAGTGATGATTCTATTGACCACCATCAGGAGGAAACATGCTATGAATTGTTTTGGAAGAAGTCTGGGGTGGATTTGCACTGGTATTCACTTTTCATTCCCCTTGTGATGAAAGGCACACATCTGCAAGATGACTGGGCAAAATTAAGGGCTTAAGACAGTAGCTACGGAATGAAACAAAGCTAAATGAACCACTTAGAGACAGAATCCCTGACCTTGGTCTTTTTTTTAGCAACATACTCTGTTGTTATTTAGTGATAGGGATCAAGAGTTACTATGTTACAAAAATGGAACCTTCAAGATTTTTTAAATATAAAAAGTTGCATCAGTTTGAACTCTTTAAATAGTATATGTGCACATAATAAAGTAAAGTTCAAGATAAAATCAAATCTCACATAGTTTATCAGGCAATTGAAACACCAAATATTTAAACTATGCAGTAAAAATTCTACATGAAACAATGAATTACCGAATCAATCCTGTGTAACATTCTGTATGTATGTAATGATCTATCCCACTTGCTTCTGTGTTCAGGAAGGTACATAAACTGAATGAGTTTAGCTGGAGTCTCTGGTATTATTCCTTCTGCCCGGTATCTATAGTTAGTAAAGAAAAAAAAACACCTAAAAGTTAACAAGCCATGGTTTAAAGCTATGGAATTTACTAGATTTCAAAAGCAGAAGTTGGTTCCTCATAGTAGCTCACCGTAAAACAAAGAAAAGGTGCAGATGTGACATACATTTGGCAAATATATACAATTAAAAGCCAATTTTATTTTAGTTTTCTTTCCAAAATGTTAAGTATTTTAAAATACACTCTCTATGTAACTATTATATTGACTAGTAATGAGTATCTACAGCTACCTTTTTAAAAGGAATGTTTTCAATGTGAATGGTTTATCTCCATCAGTGAAGAGAGCTCTCAAATCAATGAGATCACAGTTCCATTTGAAAAGATCCAGTTTCAATTTACCTAAAATATATCAAAATGATTCAAGTCCACTTTTAATCATTTTATTCTTCTCAAGATATAAATGGGAGACTTATGTGGATAAACAGCATAGTGTATGGCCCCAATTCTTAATTAAAGGATTCAATGTGTTTTAAGTGGAAAAAGCATTTATTTGTACTGAACTGGAAACCCAAATTGTAGTCCAAGTTCTAGGACTGGGTTACTATATGTCCTTGTGCACATTACTTAATATGAAGGCTCTAGTTACTCATCTATAAAATAAGGATGTTGTAAGGAAAATGTGATTATGCTTATCACAAACAAGATCCTTAAAAGAAAGTCTGACAAATAACCTATTTCTTGAAAATTTAAATGCATGTGGGGAGAATGTAGAAAAAGGGTTTTCTTTTTTTTTTAATGGGAAAAAATACTATTTCCTTAAATGAAACAGTGGATACCATGGTATGGTAGAAAGACTGAACTTGGCAGTTCAGATTCTGGCTCTTATTAGCTATAGGACCTTTTGAAATCATTTAATCTCTCTTGCTCAGTTTATTCAGCTGAAAAATAGGTGATTCACTACCTCGCAGGCTTGTTGCAATGACCAAATTAAGTGCATTCAATCATTTGGATTCATCATCAAGCAAATAAATGTTTCCAAATTGATGCTTTGTTTGAAGTTTTAATCTCTGTCCAAGTCCTTTAACCAATAGCTCATCCTAGTGAATTTTCAACTTTATTGTTGGCTCTTTGTGTTCCTATGGAATCCAGGCTAAAAATTGGATGATTCACGTATAGTCTGCCATTATTATCTCATGGCCCTCTTCAAATTGCCTCTGGCATTACAGAGGCCACATGGTATAGTGAAAAGACTGGAGTCTGAAGACAGGTTCAATTTTCTGGTCTGCCATTTACTAGTCATGTGATCTTGGTCAAGTAACTTCTTTGGGTCTTTTTTTTTAATCTGAAAAATGGGAATAATGTTTTCATTATTTCATAGATTTTTGTGAAGAAAATACTTTGTAAAGTATTATATAAATATGAGCTGTTATATCTGAGGCAGCTAGATGGCACAGTGGATAGAACAATAGATCTGGATTCAGGAAGACCTGATTTCAAATCTAGCTTCAGACACTTACTAGCTATGTGACCTTGGGCAAGTCACTTAACCTCTGTTTGCTTCAGTTTCTTCAATTGTAAAATGGGGATAATAACAGCACCTACCTCCCAGGGTTGTTAGGAGGATCAATATAATATTTGTAAAGTGCTTAGTACAGTACCTGGCACATAGTAGATACTCTATAAGTGTATATTCCCTTTCCCTGTCCCCCTTGTCCCTTAGCAATGGATGCAAAACTTCATTTGTCATGTGATTATATAGGAAGATTCTACACTTGGTTCTTTTCATTGTAGGTTGGTTGATGGCAAGTTTATGCTTTTTGTACTTTATTATGGATTAGCATTTGATTTGTAGCTTATTTTGAATAGCACTACAGAATTGAACACTTGGGTGATGATTTTCATGGGCAACATTGTAAGGTTTTTAGTCAAAACTAATATTGCTGACTTTGCCTTTTCTGGTCCATTCTCTGTCCATGCTCTTAATGTTGGTGAATGAGTTAGGTAGCTGGCAGTACTTCCTCAAACCACAAGTCATCCACCCTGTCCTGTGACCAATGTATATTGTATAAGCCAAATGTATTCGATCAAGGTTCATCTCTAGGCCAATCAGCCTCCACAAGCCACAGTAGTTATTAAGGCTTTTGTGGAGCATCAGGATGGCATGTGCCACAAAACAATCACATTCAAAAGGCAAATGGAAGTGTTTTCGTTGATCCTGATTCTGAGTTTTCAAGTCAAGATGATGGAACAGCATTTTCAAGCTAGTGGCATATAGTTTCAGAAACATTCCATCTCATTGCCAAAATCCTTTGTGAATATTGACTTGCCATGTGTCTGCAAACAGTTTGGATTTTATTGAGAATTCAGTATAAATCTTCTCAAGGATTTCAACATAAACTGTGTTTGTTTGAGTATTATGTATTGGATTCAGTACTACTATTGTTCTACCAAGTCATATGCCCTTTTGCAAATTCTTGCTTGCATAGCATGCTGGAAGCCAGTATTTTGCATTTTCCTTTAAGTTTTATCTGCAAAGGTTAAAAACTGATATGAATTTGCATTAAAAATTGGTAGAATTTTTTCCAGAGCAGGAAACATGCACATGAAGAGCTTATAAATTTGCCAAAAAAAAAAAAGTGATAGGATGGCACTTGTCAAAATAGCATGGTTTGTGAAGGATCACTGGATATGGAGTCTAAGCATCCACACTGAAATCCTCTCTCTGTTTCTGTGGTCTTGTACAAATTACATAACATCTCTAGGCCTCAGTTTCTTGATCTATAAGATAACAGAGGTTTAACTAAATGATTTCAGTGTTCTCCTCTAGGTCCAAATATATTATCCCGTGATTTTTTTTGATAACCTTTGTTCAAAAGTGAAAAAATTCCTCACATTTTCCATGCCTGAAGAACCTGACCACTTAACAACATAATATCTGAATTTCTCTAGTGTCTCCTACAACGTACCTTTATCAGTGTAAAGGCCCTTGAGACAAGGTTTGTCAATTCAGGAGCAGTTACAAGTTATGTCTATTTAAGTGTTGCTAACATTTTATTCTACCCAGCATGCAGGATGTCTTTTTAGTCAACAAATGGTGTTGGATGTCTTACAGTAAGGAATGAGAGAAGTGTAAAGACAATTGTAAAATTATTTGCAGGCAACGTTCATTTCTTGGCAACATGTGGAATGCTTACTATTTCGGCCCTTTACTATGAATAACAATCTGTTTCAGCTAATGATTCCTCTCTGCCTTTTTCAGACTGTGTCTTTTTTGAGAGGAAGTTTTCTGAATTTTTCATAATACTTAAAGAGATTTACCTGATTTCTTAACACAGCCTTTTGTAATCTCTCCTAACTTTTATCTGCCTTAAAGTATTCTTTTTTCCCACCTTCTGTTTTCTTTTAATTTTGAAAATGTTTTTGATGCTTTCTTTTTTTATATACAATTATATAAACTTCCCTGTCAGCAGACAACAATCATGATTTATAGCAAATATAACACTATGTTCCCATGGACCACCACCTCTCTTACTAGAAGAAAGTATGCTTCATCTTCAGTTCTTTAACTGGTAATTGGTCATCTGATTTTTTTTCTTTTTTTTGGAGACTGGCTGTTCATATTTCTCCCAGGCTAGAAGTCCAATAGACATTCACTACTGATTAGCAAGGGAGCTTTGACCTGTTCCATTTCCAACATGGGCCAGTTCTCCCCTCCATAGTCAGTCAGGAGGCTTACCATATTGGTGTCAGACTTAATACAGTCAACAGATCAGTTTAGCTTTCTGCAGCTCAGAACTTCCAAGCTCAAGAGATCCACTAGCTAGCTCCATTCTCCCCCAGTATCAGGGATTAAAGGAGTAAGCCACCACACCTGGCTGTATCTAATTTCAGTTGCTTTTCAGTGCACTGTTCATTTATGTTATTGTAGTCACAGTAAATGTTGTGTACTTTGTTTTGTTCACTTGGTCCTATATCAGTTCAAACAAATCTTCTAATGTTTTCTTTGAAATAATTCACATATGTTGCTTCTTATGGTATAAGTATCTGATTACGCCCACATACCATAATGTGGTCAACCATTTTATAATCTATGGGCATTTTATTTTCAGTTTTTTGTTACTACAAAAAGTGTTGCTCTAAACATCCTGATATATATGGTACCTTTCTTTCAGTTATTAACCTCCTTAAGGTATATGTCTGTAGCAAGATTGATGGATCAAAACTTGTACAATTTAGAAGCTTTTCTCAAATAATTCTAGATTGTTTTCTAGCTCCAACTCTGATTATTTTTATCCTTTATCATCATTATCAATTTGAGAGTTGTGGGAGTAATACCTGAAAGTTCTTCTAATTTGTATTTTGCTCAAGAATAGGTTATTTGATGCATTTTTCACATAGTTGATTGCATTTCTTCTTCTGAAAGCTGTAATAGCTCTTAATCTCATGCTTGTTTAAATCCCCTTTCTTAAATGTCAAACTGTTATCAGAAATGTTTAATGCAAAGATTTTTCTCAGAATAAGTTTAATTTCTTATACCTATATTGATTTTGTTTGTGAACAGGCTTTTTAACTTTACATAATCAAAATTGTCTCTTTTGTGATATCCACTACCTGTTGATTAACTATGAATTCTCTCCCTAATCATAATTATATATGGTATCACTATCCATTTACTGTTTTCTTTCCTTCTTCCTTTCTCTCTTCTTCCCTCTCTTTCAGCTTGCCTGCCTTGTGGTGCGATCTTTTTCATTTTGGATGTTTATCAATTTGTAGTTATTTGTGGTATGTGGTGTGAAATGCCAGGTTCAATCTATTTTCTGCCAAACTGTCTATAGTTTTCCCAGCAGTTCTTATTAAATAAGGAGTCTTCCCCCCAAGTGCTTGGACTTTCAAACTAATATGCTAATGTGTTTGTCTCTGCTTCTTATCTGTTCCATTGATCTAATTTTATATTTAACTGATATGAAATAGTTTTGATGATTATTACTCCTTATTCTGAGATCTGATGATCATAGGCTGAAAT